AGCAGGCTCTCCACTGAGAAGGGAGCCCAATGAGGGGCTGGATCCCAGAACCCTGAGATCATGACCTGAGCTGAAGGCAGTTGCTTAACTGACTGAGCCACCCAGGCAGTTGCTTAACTGACTGAGCCACCCAGGCACCCTAAAATATTACTTTTCATATTTATGATTTTAATTCCTTTTTTAAAAATACCATGCACCACAATGCTGTAATTACAAAGATACTGAAATATATTTTAGTGTACGTTTGGTAAATGTTAAGTTTCAGAATCAGTTGTGTCAAGTGCTTCCAAAAAACTACTTGAATTCTCATGGAAAATGCATTCTATTTAGGCAAGTTTGGAAAGAGCTGACATCATTCAGCCTTCCCATGTACACATATGATTCATCAACCAATTAATTTTACCTTTTTTCAATTGTTAATAATCAAGTTTCAATTTTTTCCACAAATACACTAGGCACAAATTTATTAATTTCTAGATAAAATATAGATTTTTTGCAAATTATATTTTTATTTCTTTCAATATTTCCATTTCTGCTCCATTCTATGTGTAACAATACTTTTGCAAGTTATTCCTGATTCCTGGAACATCCTTCTACAAAGATACAGCTCAAATGTCACCTCCTATATGAAACCTCCCAAGGTACCTTAGATGAGGCCCTGAACAAAAGTGTGAGGCAAACTGAATGTTTCTGGCCACCTTTTTTCTTTTTTGTTTAATGTGATTCTAACATTGAGTCTTAAGCACATCTTCATCCTTATATCATTCTTTTCTGATGGGTATTGACCTAATTAATTTATTATTGGTCACTGTTTTGCTTTGAAAGTGCTCTATCAATCTCTCCTATTAGGAAAGATTACTACGTTCTAATGCCCAGCCACTGGTATAAGTGTGTCTGGTAGGTGAACTTTTATTGTGAGCTGTTTACTGAGTTCTGACTGTGGTGTAGTGACCCAAAAATGTTAGTGATACATTTTCATAAGAGTTCCAGGTGAAATAACCACTATCATAGAGAACAGACTCTATGCCTCTGTGTTCCTAGTGACAGTACCTGGTACAGAATAAGAACATAATGTTTGAGGAATGAAGGAATTATATGCCAGGATATCCCAAGTTCTTTTTCTTCTACCACCTTAGGAACTGTACTGGGGCTTTAATATTTGAGAATGATTCTTACTAGGATATGGGGATCCTACACTTCCTTTCAAAGATTAGGAAAATAAAAGCCTATTAAGACACTGATACTTAAAATAGGCTTCAGTGACACCTGGTAGCTCAGTTGGTTAGGTGTCTGCCTTTGGCTCAGGTTGTGATCCCCAGGGTCTGGGATCAAGTCCCTCATCAGACTCCTTGTCCAGCAGGGAGCCTGCTTCTCCTTCTGCCTATGTTGTACTCTCCCTGCTTGTGTTGTACTCTCTCTGTCTCTCTCTCTCATTCCCTCTCTCTGGCAAATAAATAAATAAAGTATTTTACAAAATAAAATAGGCTTCAACCCATTTCTTCCTAACCCATCTCAAGGACATTTTATTTTATTTTTTTAAAAGATTTTATTTACTTATTTAACAGACAGAGAGGTGACAAGTAGGCAGAGAAGCAGGCAGAGAGAGGGGGGGAAGCAGGCTCCCTGCTGAGCAGAGAGCCCAATGCGGGGCTTGATCCCAGGACCCTGAGATCATGACCTGAGCCGGAGGCAGAGGCTTAACCCACTGAGCCACCCAGGCTCCCCTCAAGGACATTTTAATAAAGTATCATGAGTGAGCAATTTCCATATAGAGATCGTTTGCCACATAGCTTATCATGTGGAATGTCTCTATATGCAATTTTGGGGGTCACATGTCTAAGCTGGGGTAGATCATTGGTGGAAAACACAATGTGTAACTTTTGAGTGTTACAGTTTACAGTGGGCCAGAACTGTTTACTTGAAGACAGATAAGTATTTTTAAAAGAGCTTATCTAAGAATTTGTATTGGGCTAGTTTGGGGCTTTTACTGGCAGACTCTAGGCTGGCTAAATTGGGCTATGATGTCATATTGCTTTAATGGGAATCCATCCTACATGCTTTAGTAGTACAGAGCTTTTCAAATTACTCTCTGGGGGTCAAAATATTGACCGGGAGAGTCCCATTCCTTACAAAGAAGTAAGGAAAAAACAATTGCCAAACCAGCTAAGCTAATTCTATTCCTATTTATAATTAGGGGAATCAGAATTAAGGAGGTAGAAGAAACCAATGGAGAAATGAGCAAAGGACATGAGCAGTTCACAAGAAAAATATGTCCCTTAAGCATAGAAAAAGTTCAATTTTATTCATAATAATGGAAATACAAATCTAAACTACCCTGAGAATAAAGGGATATAGGATATAACCTATATATAGGATATATATAGTATATATATATAGATAGATATAGGATATATATAGGGTATAGGATATTCAAAGAATTTTTTTAAAAAAAACAAACTTGGAAGACTTTCATTACCTGACATCAAGTCTTATTATAAAGCTACAGTAATAGAAACAGTTGGTACTGCCTTAAGGACAGTAAAATAGAGAAGTAGAATTGACAGCACAAAACAGACCTATATATATATAGCCATCTGATCTTTGACACAGATGCCAAAGTAATTCAATGGGGAGGGAACTATTTTGAACAAATAATGTTTAATAAAATTATTTGCGATGGATGATAGCTTTAAATGTAAATGCTAAAATTATAAAATTCATTAAATAAAGCAGAATATCTTTAGAACTTTGGGAAAGGTTTTTTATACATAACACTGAAAATAATTATATAAAGAACAGATAAATGAAACATCAATAACTAAAACTTTTATTCATTAAAATACACTGATAAAAAATGAAAAGGTGAACAAGATAGGGATAAAATACTCATAAACATGTATTTCACAAAATACCAGTATGCAGAATATATAAAGATCACTTCCAACTTAACAATTAAAACAGAAACAAACCCATATTTTAGAATGGGAAAAATATTCAAATGTGTAAATAATCCACCAGTACATGTAAAAGAGCTCAACATCATTAGTCATCAGGGAAATTAAAACTAAGACCAAAACATGTTAACAACACACCTACCAAAACTCAAAAATGAAAAGACTGATTAACACCAAGTGTTGGAGGGAATGTGGAACAACTGAAACTTTCATACCACACTGGTGTGAGTTTAAAATGGTATAGCCATTTTGGAAAAAGGTCTAGTAGCTTCTCATATAACTAGCATATACCTACTTTATGACTCAACAATTCTACTCTTAAGTATTTCACCAAGCAAAATGAAAGCACATGTCCACAAAAAGATTTATAAAAGAATGTTCTTAACAGCTTCACTCATAATAGCCAAAAACTCAACATCGTTCAGGTGTCCATCAACAGAGAATGGATAAACAAACATTGCTATATCTATACAATGAAATAATAATAAAAAAATAAAAACTCTTAATAAACACAACAACATTAATGGACCTCAAATACAATATCCTGGATGAAAGAAGTCTTACAAAGAATGTACCCACTGTGTAATTCCACGTGGAGTTTTACAACAGATAGAATGAATTTACAAGGAAAAATCATAACTGTACAGTTGCCACTGTGGATGTTGCTATAGGGACTGAGAAAAGGGGCAAAAGGGAAATTTCTGGGATTATATCTTGATAGGGGTTTAGTTACACCAGTGCCTGCATTTGTCAAAATCAAGCAAATGTCTCTGTAAGATATGTGCATCTCGCTTCATGTGAATTTTATGTCAAAAGGAAAAAAAAAGCAGAGAATTATAGTTATAATATGCATGCTAACGTATTTAGGGAGAAGTGTACTGCTGTTACAATTTACTGTGAAATGTATCAAAATAAGTCAATTTTTTACAGAAAGGTATGAACTCATATGTGACAAATCATGTATAGTAAAATGTTGATAATAATAGAATATCAATAATAGGTATACAGTAGTCACTGAAAATTCTTTCTACTTTGCTGTTTATATGAAATGTAAAAAAAAAACGTTGGCAGAGGTAAAATGTTAATTGTGGAATCTTGATGGTAGATATAGAAATGTTCACTGCACAGTTTTTAATTTTCTGTGCATTTGAAAATTTTCACAATAAAATATTTAAAAAAACTATACTGATACCTACTTCTATCAGATTGGCAAAAATTAAAGAGTTCGTCAACATACACACTTAGCAAGGCTGTAGAGAAACAAGTACACTGATTCATTGCTGGGGACTGTATGGTGCAAACAGAGGAATCTGACAATATCTAGAGAAGCATTTAGCCTTTAATTCAGAAAAAATCTATTTTCATTATTCTACTATTAGACCTGTACACATATGAAATAACATGCATGCAAGACAATTCAGTGTGACATCATTTCTAATAAGAAAAGATTGTCAAAAACCCAACACAGCAACTAGCAACTAGTAGAATAAGCAAGCTATGGTAAACCCAAGCAATTTAGTACTAGGTAGCTATTTTTTAAAAATCAAGATTTTGATGTACTGACATAAGGTGATCTCTAGGATATAAAATTAAGTAAAATAATGTGCAAAGAGTCAAAAGGTAGTATTGTATCTTTTCAGAAAGTTAGGAAATACAAATATATATTTTTATTGGCTTATATTTATATGAAGGAATACTAGAAGGATAAATAACTCAAAAATTGGCTACATATGGGATGGAGAAAACAGAAGATGGAAGGGGGTAAAAGGAAGACTTCTCAGTGCTTCTCTCTCTCTCTCTCTCTCTCTATATATATATATATATATATGTATATATATATATATATATGAGATTGAATCATCTATTCAATGAAATAAAATATAAAAAAAAATCAATGGAAGATAAAAAAAATGTGACAGAGTGGGAGCATAGGCTTTCAGTTAATTGGACCTATCACCCATAAACTTTCTCAACAGTTTCAATTTTTATAAAAATTATATTCAATTTTTATAAAAGCAAATTGAGAAGTATCAGTAATTTCTATACCTTTTGGTCCAGGGAGCCCATCCAAGCCAGCGCGTCCTGGAAGACCTGGAGGTCCTGGGAAACCACGATCCCCTTTGGGACCAAGTGTTCCTTTGAAACCTGGGAGTCCTGGGGGTCCAGGTGGCCCAGGCAGCCCAAGTCCTGCTTCTCCCTTAAGCACACACATGAGAAAACACAACAAAACCTCCCATGATTTTCTTGGTGTTTACTGTTTATCATGGAGAATTTAAAGCAGAAATTACAAGGTAATACCTTTTTTCCCCTATGGGGGAAGGAATAGGATAACTAAATGAAAAATAATTGGCATACTGGAGAGAACATCTGGAAGGATGAGAAACAAATTAAAGGATTTGGTTTCAGCACAAGAAAGAGATAACTGAGAGAATATGAGATTAAAGAACCCAAGTAAGGAAATATGATTACAGACTGAGTATTAGATAATTATTTTAAATTTGATTAAATGTGACAATGACAATTTTTTTCTTGTATGAAATGTCCATTTACTTGGAGATTAACACTGAAGTACTTATAGGTGAAATAATATGATTTTGAGACCTGAGTTAAGATACTTTGGCAAAGAAAAAAGGAACAGATGAAGTAAATATGATGAAATCTTGATCATTTGGAATCTGAGTAATGGATATATGAAACTTCATTACATTATTCTTTTTACTTTTGTGTTCATTTGAAAGGTTCATAATAAAATAAGAACAATTAGACAATACAGAAGTGGTTTCTCATGAGAGCTGGGGTCATGGTCAATTGCTCTTCCCATGGAAGAAATAGCAATAATGAAAACACAAAAAAGTTTAAATTAATTAAAATACAGAGAAAATACAGAAACAGGATAATTATACACAACAGTTTGCTGATGGTTATTAAGGAAAATTTAAGATTAGCTAAGATATAATAAAAAGAATGGAACGTAACTCAAACATAGTATTTACTATTATTATTATTATTATTACTGTTATTACTAAGCTAATAACAGTGGCTTGCATTATATACGTAAGATGGAATTGGGACTGGAAAACAGTATGGGAAGTTCTTGACATGCTATCTACCAATCATCACACAGGCACGGACAGAGGTTAAATGGTATGCTGATACTACAGAGAAGTACGGGGGAGCTGATGATTGTATTTTCTCATCTAATCTCATCTCATCAGATAAACTTTGACTCTAAAACAGTTCCAGAAACTTTGTTTGCTTCAAATATGACCTCTCAACAATGAAAGACTGTTTGGGGTTATACATGGGGCTTGAACTCATGATCTGAGATCAAGACCTGAGCCGACATCAAGAGTTGGATGTTTAACTGACTGAGCCACCCAGGCGCCCCAGGTTAAATATTTTTAAGTGAAAATATAATAAGCGAACTTTATTTATAGAGTGAAGACTTGAGATAATAATGTCTACATCAAAGCAGAGAGCTAAGGGAATAGGAGAAATAGGAAAAGGGGAAAGAATAAAGTAAAATATCTCAGACCTGAGGTCCGGGAAAGCCTGGTGGCCCAGGAGGACCTTCTAGACCAATTCTTCCAGGTGTCCCAGGTGCTCCTGGAGGTCCTGGAATTCCAGGGAAACCTGTGCAATGATTAGTCATTTTTAATCTCCAAAGAGAAGACACATTAAGAAAGATACCCAAACTCCCAAACCCACATTTTTACCCTGTCCAACCATGCTTAGTGACTACAGTGAGATGTGAAAAGTACACTGATATTCTAACTGACTACTCAGGATCAACCCTTACAAATACCTGATATTCCCTCTCAATCATGTATGGTCCTGTCATTTTCATATAGAGCTAATGTGTGTGGAAGATATACTCTTCTAAAGGAAAATGAGAGTTATTACTAATGAGATAGAACTAAACATTAGGAATGACTCCCACACAAACATGCAGAAAATTTCTATTCTGCTTATATCTGGATATAGTATGATAAAAGGTCTACCATATAATGCTGGAAGTGAGCTAAAAACAACTGTAAATATTATTCACAAACATACACATAAAGTCAAATTTTACTCTTTTGAAGTCATTTAGTATGAGTAAGGCCATTTTAACTACTGTTCTCAGACCAATGTGCATGCTTGCCATTCACGAAAATAAATTCTGTGAGAAAAAAAGCAGAACTGAAGCAACAGCCCTATAAATCAAGAGAATATGATTTAGGATAAAACATTACTTGGATACATATGTGTAATAAATATGTTTTCTGCTTAATACAATCCATTCATTCAACAAGTATCTATTGATTGCTTACTCTGTGCCAGGAACTTTTCTAAGCCCTGAAAATATAATGGTGAACACAAAAGACAATAATTCTGTAATTTTAAAAGCTTATACATCATTTTTGCATGACTAGAATTTAGATATTTTCTTGTCTGGACTGCTTCAGATAAAGACAGTAAATTTATAGTGTATACATGTTGTGACTTTTCACTTACATTATTTACAGTACCGAGAAAAGAGGCACAGTTACCATATTTTATTTGTTGAGGGAACTATATCAAAGAATAATGTCATACTAACTAGTTAAACTAGCCTGCCTGCTGCCCAGTCCTACATACCTTTGGGACCAGGTGGTCCGGGAAGCCCAATTCCAGGGATACCTGGTTCTCCTTTACTACCGGGTATTCCTGGCAAGCCTGGTTGTCCGGGAAGTCCAGGATCACCTATGGAGATATGCAGGTTTTTCTTTTTTTTTGAAAGGGATACTTTCAGATAGAGAAGTCAGTAAGTGTTAAAGACATGGCCAAAATAAATTCCTCACATACCTGGAAGACCTACTTCACCATCTCTGCCTGGGTTACCAGGCAGGCCAGGCTTCCCTGGCTGGGTTATGGTCTGACCTGGATCACCTTTAGGACCTAAGAACAAGAGGGAATAAACAGTGAATGAGAAGTGTTCACTTGACTACAGATGTCTTTTTAATTAAAAGCAAAACAAGAAAGTATCTATAATCTTTTGAAAATGCACACGAACAAGAACCCACAAGAAAAATACCCCCGTATTATTTATCCAAGAAATATACCAAACAGAAGGATAAACTTTCAAAAAGAAAAAGTAGATGACAGCTTTAAGAGCTTCCAGGATTGAAGAGGCCATCTATAAAAATATTTTTAAATGTAGGTCAAAAGAGCCTAACAAAACTCAAACTGCAGTAAACAAGAAATATTTTTTTGGTTAACTAATGGCACCTTAAGGTTTCATATATGCAAAGTCCAGATACACCTACTTCTCATTAATTGAAATAAGAACCTGAAATATGCTCAGGACAAAAGTGGATCTCTAAAACCTGATATAAAAAAGCACTAACTACGAGAGAAAAGATTAATATATGTGACTACATTCAAATTAATTTCTGTTGATTAAAGACACCATATAGAGAATGAAAATGGCAAGCTGTAGTGAGTGAAAATTTTGCAGAATAGATAACAAACAATACACAGAATATATATATTTTAAAAATCCTAAATCAATAAGAAAAAGAAAAAATCCCATAGAAAAATGGTCCAAAAAACCACTTGAATGGGAATTTCAGAATGGAAATCGAAACAGTCAACAAACATATGAAAAGGTGCTAAACTTTAATGTAATCAGGGGAATATAATAAAACTGTCATGAGTTACATCACACTCAGCAAACTGACAAGGATGTAAAAAGTCTGACAGTACAAAATGTTTATGAGGATGAAGAACAACAAGAAATCTCCAATACTGCTGATGAAACTGGTACAATTGCTTTGAACATTATCTAGTAAAGCTGAAGATGCATTTATTCTATGCTTTGAGGATGCACATCTTAAATATATACTCAGTCTGGAGATTGGCAAAGTTTTTCTGAGAAGGACCAGACAGTAAATACTTCAGGCTTTGTGGGCCATAAGGTCTCAGTAGCAAGTACTCAGGTCTGCAAAATGTTGAGACTATGTGTAGGAATGCAAAAGCAACCATAGACAATAGTAAATAAGTGCAGATGTGTTGAAACAAGTTTCATTTATGACAATAAGTAGCAGGCCAGATTTGAATGCTGTGCTGTAGTTTGTTGATGTTTCCTCAGAAAAGTATGTGCACATATACACAAGGATATATATATATATATACGATGATGTACACAGAAGCATTATTCGTAATACACCTGAACTATAAATGACCCAATTGTCCATCAACAACAGAATGGATAAATCAAATGTCACACACACATGCACGCGTGCACACATACACACACAATGGGATACTATACAGCAATGAAAATGAATGTACTATAGCTATACACAAAGTTAACATAAAGAATACTTACCCTATGATTCCATTATTATGAAGTTCAAAAAGAAGCATAATTAAAGTACTTTGTTTAGGGATCCATATTTAGGTGATAAAACTAGGGGGCAAATGGAAGGAAATTATGCAAAAGTCAGGACAGTGGTTACCTCTGGAGAAATGGAAGGGGATCATGATCAGAAAAGGACAGAGAGAGGAAGATGGGGGTTTTTAGGATGATGGCAATCTTCCGTTTTTTGACATGTGTGGTAGGTACATGTGTGTTTCCATTATAGTTGTTAAACTTTATGTATCATGTACTTAAAAATAACAAACAACAAAAACAATGAAGACAATCAGAAGAAATTTAAAGAGGGAACCTCCCCCCCCCTTTAGAGAAAACACATACACTATGCTCCCTTGCTAAGGAGCTCTGAAAAGCCCAAATATAAATGGCCAGGGAAACATATCTCTCATGAAAAGAAGCCAAGAATTGCCAGAAGATAATACATTTCTACTTTTAAGCGCCAAATTAAAAACAAAACAATCATAGTAAACTCACCTGGTATTCCTGGCTGGCCTGGATTTCCTGCCACACCTTGTATGCCTTTTTCACCTACAGGGCCTGGAGGGCCAAAACCCACAGGGCCCATAGGCCCCCTATTCCCTGGGAGACCTGGAAGGCCTGGATTCCCAGGGGGACCTCTTTCACCCTTAAAAGCAATTCCACCCTGAAAACGGAAAAATTTAACACAGAAACATAGATATAAGTTGGTATATTGATATTACTGAATATAACTAAAGAAATGATACACCTATAAATATTTTTTCTTAAAAGCTGTATTAGTGTATGTTATTATAGGATGGGATGTGTGATCATTCCATTTATTCATTAATTCCTTCAACAAATATTTTTTAGTTCCTATTATGGGTCAGGGGCTGATGATACAGCAAAGAACAAAAATAGGCAAAAATCTTTGCCTTCATAAAGCTTACACACTAGCAGTAAGTCAAGAAGTTTGTAGCTAACACATGACCATCTACTCACACTTACCTCTAAGCTTACTATATATAGAACCAAATTAGACTTCTGTTCTCAGGTCCAAATAAACCCAGACAAAGATATGTAGTATAAGAGAAGGGGAACCTCACACTGACCCATAAGCATCTTAACTTCCTACCCACCTATTCCCACCAATATTACTCAAATAGTAACAGGTTAAGAAGATAAAACAACTGAGAGGAAAAGGAGGTACAGAAACCCAACATAGTCAATAACAATGTAGCATTACTACCTACAGTTACATTTTTTTAAGTACTAATTGGGCATTCATTATAGTACCAGGCTCATCCTAGGAAATATCCCTAAGTAACAATTTGACATCACAAAACCAAGAATATCAAACCAACTCACAGGTTCTCCTTTGGGGCCAGGAAGCCCTGGCAATCCATCCTGTCCAGGGGTACCAGGTAAACCAGGAAGCCCAGGGGCTCCTGGGGAACCCAATTCTCCTTTGTCACCCTTCATTCCTGGAAAAGTGAGGATATCTCCAGGTTCACCTTTAGATCCAGGAAAGCCTGGAGGACCTGGAGCTCCTGGTATGCCCTGAGGGAAGAAAAAGAAAGAAGGGAAAAAGAAGAAAAGAAAAAAATCAGTTTCTTTTTTTTTCCAACATATTTTTCTCTCCAGTTTATCCTATCCACCCACCCAATGAGGCATGTGAGTCAGGGAGAGTCAAGGAATCAAAAAGAACACAAATTAACAGAAGAACTAGATTTCTTTTATTATATATATCCACAAGAGAAAACCAAAGGGTAAATGGATTTCTTCTAGGTTTTGTGTGTGTGTGTGTGTGTTCTATAATATACTCAAAACTTACTGTTAATCCTTTGGGACCGGTTAGACCAGCATGTCCTTTTTCTCCCTTCTGTCCAGGGAAACCAAGAGATCCTAATACATGCACATACACACACACACACACACACACACACACACACACACACACACAATAATGTGAACTTTGACCCTGAGCCCCTGACAAAGCTCATATAAAAATCATCACGTCAGGAAGTCAAGTTTTCAAATAAGAACCCCATTCTCAATCACATATAACAAGTCACATTTTTATTTTCCTATTTTATACTCTCAAAATGAGCAAATCATCCTTTCTTTTAGGTGAATCTATACGATAGTGTATCCTTAAATGTTTCCAACTACAAAGCCTCTCAGAGCTCACAGCTACCAATTGCCAGGCACAGAGGTGTTAAGGTTCCTATACCCACCCTATTGCCAAGTGGAGAAAGATAAGGACACAGTTTGAAAATCTTTCTTTGTTCTGACCTAAACAAATTTCCCAAATCACTATGAGTCCTTTCTTTGGTTCACCACTTCATAAAATTTGGTTTATGAGAAATATTTGGTGCTCAAAGACTAGAGAAAATATTACTAAAGGAGTGGTTTTCAAAATGGGTCCCTCCATCAGCTGTATCAGCATTACCTGGGTACTGGTTAGAAGGTTAGAAATGCTAATTCTTGGGCCCCCACCCCAGGTCTACTGAATCAGAAACTTTGGGGGTGGCACCACCAATATGGGTTTTTAGCTAGTCCTCCAGGTAACTCTAATGTACTCCCAAGTTTGAAAACCACTAGACTGGAGGTACAAAGCTAGATTATTAACTTCCAGTGGCAGCTATAAGACCATCTAAAAATGTATTTCCAAGTGCTAAATGAATTGGTTTCTTTGGCAGACATACTAGACAGAAAGGTAAGAGACATCCCTGACACAAACATAAAGTGTGATTCCAAGAGAATATAATATTGGGATATCCCAGAGGCAGTTGAGAGAGAGCTGTGGGTCTGATGGATATCAAATATAATTTTGATTGGAAACAGGGAAGCAGGAGTTATGTATAGAAAGAGAAATATGGGCAGTTGGTTGCCAAACTACAGTAGAAGCCCTGTCCCTTAATGACATGTGATACATCTCCAAAGACTAGAAGCTCTGCCACTGGAAACTACACTCAGGGGCCAGACATTATGGGCTTTTCCCCCAGCTTTTTGGAAGAAAGAAGTTTCATTCTGTATGAGTTATTTTCCTCACCATATGGAAAACAGGGAAGATATTTTTCTTGGAATAGTATTGTCAAAAGACTTTAAGAGAAAATATTGGTAGCTTCAGGTATTAGAAACAAGAGCATAATCTATTTTGTAGCAGATAGAGGCATTTCATATTTAATTATTTATGAATATGAGAAACTGGCATCATTATAAAACTGAGCTCACTAATATTTAGCCAAGAAATATTTTTAAAAGGTTGCCCTGAGGCACGATGTTTTACCTGGAGGACCTGGAAGACCTGGTAGACCAGGTTGACCTGGAGGCCCTGAAACACCAGTTCCAATACAGTTGAAGCAGGTGTCACCTTTGTCACCTAGAGAAAAGCATATTGAGAAACAAATTTTACTCAAAGGGGTATGTCAATCTCCTTTAGGTAGCTTCTAAAGAAGTTAGCATCAAGGAACAACATTCCAACCCAATAGTATAGTATAGAGAAGCCTATATTAGAATCAATTCATTTGATCAATATTTGCCAAGTGTCTATTATTTGCCAAGTACTGGTTCCAGGTGTCTATGATATACTGGTAAACAAAACAGACAAAACAAAACAGGCAAAACAAACAAAACAGGCAAAAATCCATGCCTTCATGGTGTTTGCCTCCTACCAGTGGAAAGGAATAATAAACAATGAAGGTAACAAATTATTAACATATATATATATATCTCAAATATAATATATATATGTATAATATAGATATAGATATAAATATATCAAAAGGTGTTATGTTTATAGAAAAAATACACCTGGGTAAATGTGATTGAACATGCTAGGGATGGGTGGCAGGTTACAATTTTAATAATATGGTGAAATGAGATGATGATATATGATAAAACAACTTAAAGGATATGACGTGTGCCTAATGAATGTAGAGGTACTCCAGGAAGAAAGAATAGCCATGTTTGGCCTTTTCAAGAAACATCAAGGAGACCAGACTGCTGGAGTAGAGAGAGGCAAGGGAAGCACGTCAGACAGTTCACAGGTTATAATGAGTGGTATATCATAACACATTACATAGGCCACCGTAAAGCCTGGCTTTTACAATGAGTGAAATGAGAATCCAGTAAAAAAGTGTAAACAGAAAGCAAGAAGATATGACTTAAGTTTTAAAAGGATGTCTCTAGCTACTATATTGAGAACAGAAAGGATGTGCAATGATGGAAATAGGGTAACCATTTAAGTGGCTATTGCTGAAGTAATCTAGGAGAGATGAGGGCTCATCCCAGAGTGACAGCAATGAAGATGAGAACCAGTTAGATTCTGGGTATATCTGAAAATAGAGCTCATGGGATTTTCTCATGGATCATACCTGGAATACAAAAGAAGAGAATCAAAGATGACTCCAAGGTTTTTAGCCCAAGCAACCAAAAGGCTAGGGTGGCCTGCATTTTAAAAAGGGAAGATATAAGTGGTAAAATTATGAGGGAAGAGGCAACAGAGATCAGGACTTTAACTTGGTCAAATGTCAAGTTCAAAATGTTAAGTAGACAGCTGGATATACTAATCTAGAGGAAAAAAGTTATCTCTGGACAAGAGATATAAAATTCAAAGTCACTGGCAAATATGTAGTATTTAAAGTCAGGAGAGTGACTGAATGAGTTCAAATACAGAAGAGGGAAAAGGACTAAAATATTTGGGGCATTCCAAAATTATACATTGGATAGATAAATTTCAAATACATGCCAAAATGCAAATTAAGCCAGAACTTACTATAAAGCTACAATAATTTAGATAGTCTAGCATTGGTGGAAGGAGAAACAAATAGAACAATGAACAAAACAGAGAGGTCAGAAACAGACTCATACACATAGTATCATTAGGATTTACAACAAAAGTGCTAATGTGATTCATTGGAGAAATGATGGTCGTTTGTACTATAATATTGAGCCAATTCAATATCCATATGGAAAAAGTACTTTGATGCCTGCTTCAAACACAAACATTACTTGAAGACAGATAAAAGATCAAAATGTAAAAGTCAAAATGATAAAGCTTTTAGAAGAAAACACATAGAAATATCACCTTGGGATAATATCTTGGGATAAGCAAAGATTTCTAAACAGAACATAAATAACACTAACCATAAAAGAAGACATTAATGATTGGATTTCTTCTAATTAATAACTTATGCTAAAAAAAACCATGAGTAAAAAACCAAGTCACAGAATGGAAGAAGATAGTTGTGATACATATATCTAACAACCCAATTAAAAATGGGAAAAAGGCACGTGACAAAGAGAATATACAAACTATAAGAAAAGAGGTTTGGCATCAATAAGTCATCAGGTAACTAGAAACTAAAACCACTTTGGAAAAATGGTTTGGTGTTATCTATGGAAACAACACCTGCAATTACCCCTATAACACAGCAATTCCATTCTCAGGTATATACACAAAAGAAATGAATGCTTATGTCGTACAAAATATATGTGTAAGAATGTTCACAGCAGCTTTACTTATAATAGCCCTAGACCAAATGTCTGTTAACATTAGAATGAATATTCAGGTATATTCATACAAAGAACACCAAAGAGAAGTGAAAAATATTGCTAGAAACAAAAATATAGGTATCCTACAGACATAATATTGGACAAAAGAATCAGACACAAAAGAGCCCATATTGTATGAGTCCATTTATACAAAGTTCAAGATTAGGCAAATTAATGTATGATAGAGGATAAGCTAGTGGTTACCTTTGAGAGTGCTGACTAGGGGGCACAAGAGTCTTCTAGAGTCCTGGAAAAGTTCTGTATTTTTCATGGGAGATTATATAGATACATTGATATACATATAAAGAGATTGAGATAGACAACTATACAGAAAGAGATATATATAGACATATCTATCTCTATCACTACCTCTATATCTAATATATTAATAATCCAAGGAGGTATGAAGAAAATCAGGACAAGTGAGGAAAGTGTTTAGAAATGGAAAAAGAGTAAAAAAACATATTTGGATTAGCGGGGTATAGGCTGCTGGTGACTTTGACAAAAACAGCATCTATGGAGTGGTGGATTAGGGGAGTAAAAACTTGATTGGAGTAAGAGTATCCAGAGATGGTAAGTAGGAAATTCTGGAGGAGTTTTGCCGCAATGGGAGCAAGGGAATAGAGCAGGATCTGGCAGGGAAAGTGGGATAAGGTGTTTTTTAGTTGGGTGAAAAAAGGTATATTTGTATGCCGCCAGGAATGATCCAGTAAAAGGGAAAAACTGACAATGTGGAAGAGGCAAGAATTTCTGGAATGAAATCCTTGGGAACACAAGAGGGAATGGAATCTACTGAATAAATAGAAGAACTGGCTTTAGATAAGAGCAGTGATAGTAATAGGCTGGAGTGCAGAATATATGTGCACAGATTCAAGTAAATGGTAAATGGTAAAATAGTGGTAATCTGTGAAAATTCTCTTACTGCTTCAGTTGGTCAGTGGAAGTGGAAGTAGGTCAGAATCTTAACATGAGAATGGAAGAGGAGGTGTTAAAAATTTGAGGAGGGAAGAGAAGGTGTAGGCTCAGAAGATGTGATCATTTGGAATTACCAAAACTAGGCTTTTGTTCCAAGTGAGTTCATACAATCAAGTGAGAGAAGAGTGAAGGAGGCAAGGGTTTATACATGGGATTGTTTACAATGATTGACCTGACATTTATAGGTTATGAGGGAAGAAAGAATATCAAAAGGTTGAGGGAGAGTCAAAATTGATAGGTATCAGTGAGGCTGAAGTAATCTTGGAGTCAGGTTATTATAGGTAGTGAGCTAGAAAGGATACAGTGGTCAGAAAATGGAATTCATGAAATCAAGATTATGTAAGTGTGCACTACTGGTGATGAGATGGTCTTGGGAGTAAGACCATAACAATGAGTGACTAAGGTAGAGTGGAGGATATAGGGCATTTGGCTGAAGATCTGAAAGAATGAAGGAATGACTATGGGGGTCAAACCTTTCACTCCTCGTTCTCCTTGGAGTCCTGTATCACCTGGCAATCCCGGAGGGCCTGGAGGGCCTGCTTCACATATCTCATCACCTGAGACAAGATAAAGGATAGCAAACTAATTGTTGCAAAATATCCAGAAGACTAAACAAAAAGAAAGCAGACTAGAAAAAAAAAAGATCTATTTTCAGTTACTTCTCTGCAGTAATACAACTACCTATAAGCAAAAGGAAGATATAATATTGGCGATAATTTCAAGAGAAAATTTAAACATCAAAGAATCACCAAAAATCAAAAGTAGAAAAAGCAGTAGAATAGTGCAAACCTTCAGCTGGATTCACCTACGAATGAAAACAAAACCAAACCCACAGAATTTAGGAGAAAAGTATAGCTTACTAGGAGGGATGTGAGGGCCAGGAGGGCCAGGAGGCCCTGGAAGTCCAGGAGCCCCAGGCTGTCCATCAAGTCCAGGAGATCCAGGAACAGAAATTCCAGGTGGACCTTCATCACCTTTCTGGCCCCTTTCTCCAGGAAAGCCGGGGGGGCCAGGAGGACCGGTAACTGCAGTCCCTAAGATTAAAAAAATAAAGTGATCAAAATGATCTTATTTTAGAGATACTACTTTAGTTCTCAATGAGATGTAAATAATGATAAGATCTTCCTTTAATGTATAATGCCAGTTATGTTCTTATTTTTTTTCTATAAGAATTGACATCTGGAAAAGCATGAAAATTTTTAAATAATGTAACTACCAGTTTGAGTGTAAGAAAGAATAATTTAAGGTAGCTTTACTACTTTGGGAAATGTACTAACAACCCTCTACTTGCTCTTCTTCGATGCTATGATCTTTTAATCTAAGAAATACTAGAAAATATTAGGAAGAGAAAAAGAAGCATCTCAAAGTTTTCATGCAAACATGGCTCTATTTTTGGACATTCTTCTGCACTACCTATTCCTGTAACATGAACGCATCTTTTTATAATAATAAAAATAATCATTATAATTATAAATGATTTGAATAACGTTTTCAAAACTGCTAAGGAAAATATACACATCTTTGTTCTTTTTCAAAACCATCTTTATAATGATATACTATAAGTGGGCTAATTGAATTTAAATTAAAAAAAGAAAATGCTTTGGGAAAAATTCAGAAATAAAGTATTAATAGGATAAAAAAAAGAAAATGCTTCTATTTTCATGAAAGAAGATGTTAGCTGAAAAATGAATAAAAACCATCTTTACTAGACTTACAAATTTATCTTCTAAGTGCGTTTTAAAATCAGTTTGTCAGTTTCATTTAAAAAATACTGGAATTTTAAATGAGATTTATTTGAATTTAAATATGAAATTTTGAGAGAATCATCTGTTTATAATATTGAGTTCTCATATCAAGAAATTAGGTCTCTCCATTATTTATTAATTTATATTATTTAATGATATCTTATAGAACTCTGAAAAAAGGTCTTACACATCTTTTGTTTGGTTTATTCATGGGTTAATTTGATTACTACTGTGAATTTTATTGCTATTACTATTGTTAACTGGATTGTTTTTCTTATACGTTTTAGTTTTTTACTGCTGGTAAAAAGAAAGACAAATTATTTAAGTATGCAACTATCATATCTGTCCACCTTGCAAACATACTAAGTTCTGGTGTCATTTGATTCTTTTAGGCTTTCTAGGTAGATTATAATAAGGTTTGTGAATAACTCAAATTTGGGGTTTTGTTCCATCCTTACACCTCTTTTTTCTTCCAGATGTAGTGTACTGGCTGGTCTCTCCAGTGTAAGGACAAATGGTATAGACAATTCTGAGTATGTGTATCTTATTTTTTACTTGAATGTGAATGTTCCTCATGTTTACCACAAAAAGTATGACATTTCCTACACAGTCCTATACTTCCTATATGAGGCAGCTTCATCAAGTTCCCTTTTAAACCTAGTTTTTTTTTTCCTTTCTTAAAAGATTTGATTGATTTATTTATTTGTCAGAAAAAGAGAGAGAAAAAGCACACAAGCAGGCAGAAACGGAGAGAGAGGCAGGCTCCCTGCCGAGCAACGAGCCTGACGGGGGACTCGATCCCAGGACCCCGGGATCCCGACCCGAGCCAAAGGCAGCAGCTCAACCCACTGAGCCACCCAGGCATCCCCAAACGTAGTCTGATAACTTTTTTACCTTTCAAAAATTGAATGAGCATTGAATTTTACTCTTCTCTTAGCAAATATTGGCCCATTCTCTTTTAATGTGTCAATATAGTCAATTACAATAATGTTGAACCATCCTTGAAATCTTAGGGTAAAATCTAGTTGGTCATATCATCATATTATTTCATGTTTTTCTGGATTTGCAAATATTTTATTTAGGATTGTTGTTTTTATATTCATAAATGAGAGTGAATTGTATAATTATTTCTAGTGCTATCTCCTTGGTGGTTTGGTGTCAATGTTATAAAATTAAATGTCCTTTTTTAAAAAAAAGTTCTGAAAAAGTTTGTAAAATATCAGAATTACTCACCCAACAACTTAGTAGAATTTATCCACAAAACTATATAACCACCTATAAAATGTTTTTTTCATAGAAATCCTTAACATTTCTAAATCTTCCATGGTAATTAATCTACTAAGGTTTTTTTATTTTCTCAGGAAAATTTTAGTAATTTGTGTTTTTTGTTTCATGAGGAATGGATATTTCATTTAGAATTTCCAGTATATTGATGGAGTTTTACAGTTTTCTTATAATTTAAAAAAATTTAATTGTATTTATGGTAATAATACTTTATTGATATTATTTGTGCCTTCTCTTGTTTTTCTCTTGATCATATTTTTTTCTTATTTTTACCTTTATCAAGTTTTTCCTTCTATTTTGTTTATGCTTATTTCAGATCTTATTATTTTTTCAAATTAGCTCATTTATGTTTAGTATCATTAATTTTGTGATACATTAAGGTCACCACTTTGGCTATGTTTAATAAGTTTTGATATAAGGTTGTTTAGCATTTAGTCATTTCCCTTTATTTCTTGCTTACCTCCAAAGTTATTTACATATGCTCATTTTAATATACAAATGTAAAGATATTTGGTGCTTTCTGCTGTTAATTTCTAACTTCATTTCACTGTGGTGACAGAGCATAGCCTGCAAATAATTTTTTTAATTTTTTGAGAGGATTTAATCACCTTAATAACTATACACAGGGTAGCATAATAAGCCTGTTTTACAGATGAAGAAACTGAAACTCAGAGAGTGAATAACTTGGCTAAAATCTCCATGACAGGAAGTGGTTAAATCCAGGATATGAATGGAGATCGAGATCATGTAATTCCAGAGTCTTGGACCAAATGCTATGCCAGCTGGCCTTAGTACTAACCAGAAAAAAAATTCTGGATCAAGCTGATTGGATTTGCATGTTGAAGCATGGCATACATACCCAAAACTGTAAGGGTATACAGTTTAATACATTGTCCAAAAGGAACACACCTGGTAACCACTACCCCCAAGAACTAGAACATCACCAACTCTCCAGGAGCCCCTTCATCTACCCATCACAGTCACTGCCCTCTCTTTCCCAAGGATAACAAATATTCTAACTTCTGAATTAGTTTTGCTTGTTTTTGAACTTCATTGCAATGAAATCATACAGAATGTACTCCTTTATGTCAGGCTTATTTCTTATGTTTGTAAAGTTCCAATATTTTTGAATGTGGCTATAAGTTTATTTTTATTTCTGTATAGCATCCCATTATTTAAAAATAATTTTAAAAGATTTTTTCAGGAGGCACCTGTTTGGCTCAGTCAGTTAAGTGTCCCACTCTTGGTTTCGGCTCAGGTTGTGATCTCATGGGTGGTGGGATCCAGGCACACACTGGGCTCAAGTTCGGTGGCATTTGCTCCAGTCTGCTCTAAGATTCTTTCCTGCCCCTCCCCAAACTTGCACCCCTGTGTGTCTGTGTGTGTGCGAACGTACACCTGCTCTCTCAGTAATAAATAGATAAATCTTTTTAAAAATGAAAGATTTTTTTCTGATCTAGGAGAGTAGATTTTTGTAAATGTTTCACATAAGTTTGAAAAGAATGTATATACTTTGCGGCACACAGCTTTTCTTTCTCCCACATATGCAGCTTGACATTGTTGCTCAAATCATTTATATCCTGATTTATTTTTCACCTCCTTAATATGTTATCACTTGTAGTTTATCAGTTTTTACTTTATATATTCAAAGCTGTATTTTTAGATGTATAAAATTTCATGACATTTACATCATTGTGGTATAATCTGTCTATATCCATATGAAATATCTCTCTTTTTAATGTACTTCTTGATTTGAATTCTATTTCATACTGTATTAGAATTGTTAAACCAGCTTTCTTTTAGATAGCACTTGCCTAATACCTTTCAACAGCTTTATTTAAAAAAATTATGTCCTTTTAACTTAAATGGGCCTATTATGCACAGTATATATTCGTATTTCAATTTTATTTTAGTTTTTGTCTTTTAATCAATGTTTAGCCCTTTCAAATTTATTGGAGTTGCTGATTTGTTTTTGACTTCTCGTCATCTTATATTTTATTTTCTATTTACCAAAGTTTGTCTGTGTCTGTTTTGTCCCAATTCTAAATTATATTATGTAAATCCAGATTTTTGGTTATTCTCTTTTCTCAAAGGATGTATAAGTCATGCATTTTACTTATAGTCTTCTCTAGTGGTTACTACTAAAATTTTGACCTATGTACTTAAACTTACATTTTTCTAAAAACTGAGAATTAATAATATTAGTATTCTCTCTTGCTAATAAGACCAAAAAACCTTATGATTGATTTCCCCCTCTTCTCTCTGCATCACCTCATCCAATGGTAACAATGTGTATAATTATAGTTCCACAAAATATCTTTCCTAACCATTCATTCTTATATTTCACCCATTCCCACCCCCCAAGTTCATCCTGAATTCATTTCCCTCTTCTTAGACTAAACCCTCCAGTAACTACTTTAGAGACGTTCTGGAGGTGGGAAATTTTCTAAGTATCCTATCTTCACACTACAATAACAGTTTGATGTAATAAAGAATCCCAAATTAATAATTATTTTTCTTTATTACTCTGAAAATGCTCCAATATCTTCCTCTGACTCTCATTGCTTTGTAGGTGGTCTGCCTTTTCCCTCAGAGAGTTTTTAAGAACTTCTTTTTATCCTTAAATTCTAAAATGTCCCTACAATATGTCATTATGTATTTGTGTATTATTATCTTACTCTTGCTTGGTAATTCATACACTTTCATAGGGACTCATGTTTTCTTTCAATAAATAGAAGTTCTCAGTCATTAATTTTGCAAATATTGCCTGTTGTCCCATTCTCTCCTCATTAAACTCCTGCATGGTAAATTTTAGAACTCCTAGGTTTATCCCTTGTCTCTTAATTTTTCTTTCATATGACCTAATCCTAAAACTTTTTTGTTGCATCCTGGAAGAATTCCTTATCTGAATTTTCTAGACATAGTATGTGTTTAGTCTGCTACCTTGAAATTAGAAATTCAAAGTGTATCCTTAGAAAGAAAAGAACCCACATTTATTCTTTCTCCTTGGGGGGGATCACTGAGTATCACTCATCTCATCATGTTATTAATTCATTAGTCAAATTTTTGAAGGGTAGGGAACAATAATTTATTAAACATATATGTTTGCCAGGTGCTATGCCAGATGACTTTTCATATTTTACATAAATCCATATTATCTCTTCATTTTAGAGAACATCCAAATACACATGCTGGACAAGGGTGCTACTCAGTCTATGGCCAAATTAGAAATGCTCGACTGTATTATCTATCTCCAATAAGGGAATGATATAACACTCAGTGCTGAGCCCCCAAATTTTATTGCAGAGCAAAATCACTATAAGGATTTCTACATAGATATATTTTTGGAATTCTAAGTGGAGAGGGTCAATTACTATTTTAATACAGGAAATATTATAAAACTAGGCATTATTAGAATAGCATTCCCTTCCATAGCAGAATGAAAAACGTAATGATTCATTTTGGATCACAGAAACACCGGGTGCAATTTATTAATAAAAGGTAGAAATTGTATTTTTGGGGTAAAAGGGAACTATCCAATGGATTTTTTTTTTAAGTACAGGTGAGAAATTTGGTGAGAAAGGCTATAGTACGAGTTGAGAAGTATCCGTCAATTAAAAAATACGCATGTCTTCTACTGCCCTGCTCAACCTGGAACTAGTATGATAATACCAGACATGTGGATTAGGAAAGATGCTACAAACACAAGAACATTAAGTACAGTCTCTTTTACCTGGAGGTCCAGGAAGGCCAGGCGGACCCTGTATTCCAGGAAGTCCTCGCTCTCCTTTTTCTCCAGGCAAGCCGGGTAATCCAATGTTTCCTTTTTCTCCTACAGTTACACCAGTCCCAGGCCTAGGAATTACCTTTATTATGAAAGAAAAAAATAAAGGAACTCAAAGGGGAAGTGATTTGTTCTAAAAATAACCTATCAGCTACACACAATTACAGTGTCATCATTTTCACAAAGCTCTGCATGCAATATCATCAAGACAAGTACACATATTATGAGCCACATTCCATATCACTCCTATCCTGCAACTGATTAGAAACTGTTAAATACCAGTAATAATATTACCACCCTCAGAGCCCTAGGCTTTTGAGCTAGAACTTTTTTTTTATGTCTCTTATCACATTCAGTTCATTCCAGTTACCTAAGCCTGATAATTCTTTACTGAAAATGTCTAATTCACCTCCTTCTTTCCTGTTGCTACAGCCACTATGCCCATCTTACACTTGGACTAACAGAAGCACCTCAGAGCTTCTTCCTTTCAATCCAATCTACTGCTAGGATATACTTCCTTAAAAATCAATTTCTCTGTGTTAGCTATCCTATTTAAGGACTCAAAATTGCTCACCACTTCTTACTATGTCTGATGCTACTTTTCACCATGGACTCTGTCAAATTTCTTCTCCTTTCCAATACCTCTCTCACCTATTTCATCTCCTATTATTTCTAGCAGTGAAGTTTTCGGAGAGTGAGGTCTATCTGGTTATAACCACTTCATGGATCTTGCACATTCCTGTCCTTTGCTTTGAATATGCCATTTCAAATATCTATAATGCCTTCTCCCAATCTTTCTCTTTATCAACCCACATTTCTCTCTTCCTCTAAAACAAAACGAAACAAACTCATCTCTTTTAGGAGGGATTTATTGATTAGAATCAACTGACTGATCACTCCTTTTCTCTTGGTCTTATTAGAATCTCACTGTCTAAAGAATTTCATGTTAAATAACTGAAATATAAAGAAATTAATCTCATAGAGCTATAATGATAATTAAGCTTTAGATTTAAGCAAATGTTGAGCTGGCATACAAATCAACACCTACTGCCAAAGTACAATATTTCATCTTGATTCTATTGGATAGAACTATTCAGACAAAAGGAGACTGAAAGTTGTGCGACCTGGAATGGAGATGATAGTTCAAAAGGGAAAGTGAGCTGCTGGATAGGAATGCATTCACAAAATTTCCATTTCTGGGACAGCTGGGTGGCTCAGTTCGTTAAGCAGCTGCCTTCGGCTCAGGTTGTGACCCCAGGGTCCTGGGATGAAGTCCCACATCGGGCTCCTGGCTCAGCAGAGAGCCTGCTTCTCCTTCTCACTCTGCCTGCTGCTCTCCCTGCTTGTACTCTCCCTCTCTGCTAAATGAATAAATAAAATCTTTTTAAAAATTTCCATTTCTTCTGATATTTATCAAAATGTTATTATCTCAGGGGCACTTGGGGGGCTCAGTCAGATAAAGGCATTGGCCTTTAGCTCAGGTCATGATCTCAGGGTCCTGGGACTGAGTCCCGCATTGGGCTCCCTGTTCAGCAGGGAGTCTGCTTCTCCCTCTTCCTCTGTCTCCCTTTCTCTCTCCGTCCCTCATGAATAAATAAGTAAAATCTTTAAAAATGTTATTATCTAATTTTATAAAGGAACTATTTCTCAGAGAACTAAAATTCTGATTTTAAAATGAAAGTGAATAAAAACTGTCTAAGATCTTTAAGTATATCCTCATTAGATTTGTTAAGTACTAAGTATCAATATCTGAGACTGACTATGGACAGCAAGAATTAATGTTACTCAAACATCTGAATATATAGCCGTTATGACACCTGCACCTTTACAGATTCAAGGCAGTATAAAACCAAGAGTCTTATCAAATTTCAACCAAACGAAAGCCAATATGTCAAACTGTAGTAATGATATTTTATTCATAATAATATTGGAAATATATTTGACTTAAATTTCATGGTGAGTGCAAACATGACAAAATCTGCAAACCCCCTAATTATTCTTTCATAGAGCAGTTTCCTACATATGATTAAGAGCCCCCAGAAAGCACATACCCAAGGAAGAAAGATGTGTGAATCAGACAATCACTAACTGAGAAAACCTATTAAGACCAAATCCATCTTTCCAGAGCTCTACAGGGGAAAGGGCCAATCCCTAGTTTCCCAAGTATCTTTTATTGAACCTTTATAAGCAACATTTGCACCACCTGCTGGTTACTTGAGAAATAATTTGGCATTCATGATGCAAAACAACCCAGTGCCATAATTTTGAACCTTTACTATGGAGAAGTAACATATAGGAAGAACAATACAAAGTCTTTGAGGTTAACATTACTGAAGTTTTTAGATGTAGACTTTTAAGCCAGTAGAAGTTACCAATGACTTGGAATTTTGTGTTCTATGAGGAAAAGGATAGGAATACTAAGGCACAAAAATAAGAATGCATTCATATAAATTTGCTAAATGAAGACTAAAAACAAAAACAAAAAAACCCAAAACTTACAAGTCCAGGAGGCCCAGTTGGGCCAACGTCACCCTTTTGGCCCTGTTTAATATAAGTGTAAAGTAGATTAGTAAAAAAAAAAAAATCACATAAAAACACCAATTTCCTTAAAAACATAGCAGATAACTAAGTTTCAGAAAGACCCAGGAATCCATAATAAAATATCTCCAAGAGAAACACAACTTAAGGCAATGAGACAGTATTAAAATAAGTCTAGGAAGACCCATGATGTTGTCTCAGATATTTCCATTAGTGACATACTTTAGAGCTGATGGACTTAACTGTAATCAGCAACAACTAATTAATTATAATTGCTTTGTGAGTTTCCTCTTAGAAACTAATGAAAGACAAATTCAGAGACAAAATAGTTACTATAAACCAGTAGGTACAACAGCACGAAAAACACGGCATGCAACTGATATTCTACTGGCTAAGACCCAAGGATAGATGTCTTTCTCAACCCTGTTTTTGTTCTAGACTTGTTCATAGGAACTCTTCATCTATCTAAAAGCTTCATTTATTTAGTTTAAAGAGTTATTCGGTCCTATCACTTTACTTACTACTTGAAAAAAAAAATCTTGTTGTCTGAGTATTTATTATGTTCCTTTATTCTGGCTGTGCCTCCTAGTCCAACCTTGAAGTTGGATCTAGTTTAGAGATAAATCACCATTAAAACATACGCCCTCTGGGTACATTCAAGTTTGTAACACCTTTTCTTCCTTGCTTGCAAAAAAATGCTTTTCAATATTGGTTTTCATATAAAGCAATTAGAGACCACAGAGATTAGAAAACTTGATATTTTGTGGTCTGCTATAAATAAGGGAAATGTGTGCTTTGTACATTTTTTCAAAGTCACTTTTAAAATAGATAACTAAATAAATGACTTCCAGTCAGGCTGTATAGCCAAATGAAAAAAAAAAGTGACAAAGAATTAGCCACAGACTTTCAGACAATGATTGCAAAGAGAATGGAAATGTTTAGTGGAGACATTCTAAATTCACAGCTACAAGCCTTTTTAGTATGAGGACCTCACTAATACAGAGCTGAATCCACTTTCTAGAGAACAAAAGTTTTGCCGATTCATGCTCAAAATGAAGGCACCAACTTTTCACAATGGAAATGCTAAAGTTAAACAATTCGTCATGTCTTCCATCACATGGATTGTGATTTAGGACAATGAATGAAAGTTTAGAGGAAATGATACAAAACACCAAAAGATGAATAAAGAAGGTATGTTTTGAATACAAAAGCTAGTTATTAAGAAATTTTTCATTTAGAACTCAACCTTGGGAGCACCTGGGTGGCTCAGTTGGTTAAGCAACTGCCTTCGGCTCCTTGAGTCACAGGATCGGATTGAGTCCCACATCAGGCTCCCTGCTCAGTGGGGGAGTCTGCTTTTCCCTCTGACCACTACCCTCTCGTGCCCTCTCTCTCTCTCAAATAAATAAAATAAAATAAATCTTTAAAAAAAACCTTGGGGGGCGACTTGGTGGCTCAGTGGGTTAAGCCTCTGCCTTCGGCTCAGGTTGTGATCTTGGGGTCATGGGATCAAGCCCCGCATCGGGCTCTCTGCTCGGCAGGGAGCCTGCTTCCCCCTCTCTCTCTGCCTGCCTCTCTACCTACTTGTGATCTCTGTCTGTCAAATAAATAAATAAAATCTTTAAAAAATTAAAAAATAAAAAAACCTTGGAAGAGAAGAGGATTATGTTAAGTAGAACAAAACCAGTCACTTCAAAGTATTAAAATTCTTACCTTTTCTCCATGCCTTCCTGGTTTACCGGGGTAACCAGGATCACCAGGCAAACCCTTTAAAATATAGAGATCAGGGTGACATCAGCAAAAATGGTAGAGTAAGCCCAGTGATGGGTATTTAGGAGGGCATGTACTGTGTGGAGCACTGGGTATTATATGCAAACAGTGAATCATGGAACACTACATCAAAAATAACTGATGACTGTATGGTGACTAACAACATAATAAAAAAAATGGTAGAGTCAAGATGTCCAAACGCCTTCTTCTCCATAAAAGCAACAAAGAATACTGGCAAAAAATGGTCAGAGTCAACTTTTTTAGAACACTAGAAATTAACCAAAGGCTTGTAGCAATCCAGGAAGTATTTGTTGGGGAAAACAAAATGACTTAATCTTGGTAAGATCACAGAGCTTTGTGACATTTTAACTTGCTCTAGTTCCAACACCCTTCCTCAGCCCCATGGTATCCTTGAAAACCAACAGTTCCCAATCAAGGTGAAAACCAGCAGCGTAGCAGCAAATGGAAGGGAAAGAACTAGGATGGAGCTTCTTCAAGTACCTATTCCCAAAGAGTTGTCATTTTTTGACCTGTCTGGTGACTATCTTTATTTGACCTGACTTGAGTTTTCCCAGTGAAAACAGAGAACAGTCTTTTTCCTGAAGATATCTGTGAAAACCAATCAGAGGTAATTATTGATTATCATGGCAGCCTAAACCATTAAACAAAGATCAATCTGTCAGGAGCTAAGGCCCTGAATTTGCCTCCCCTTAAACCATTTTATGTTAAAGTAATTTGTGATTATAGAGTTTATAAATTGAGGACTACCTATTTAACAAAATCATCTGGAAACCAATTTTTCTGATTTTAAGTCTTCCAACTTCTCATCTTGTTAAGAATTACTGCTTTCCTTCAGAATGGTCTCCAAAATTTCATCAAATTTTCTGTTCTTGAAAACCTTTTTTTTTAATTATGTTATGTTAGTCACCGCAGAAAACCTCTTTTAACATCTATTGTGCATACTCTTGATACTAAGGCTGCTTGAAATAATATTCCTAGACTTGCATGCTTTTATTTTCCACTTTATTTTGTAGTAATTATCTGTCAAAACTTTTATTGAAAGAAAAAACTTATGTTCACACAAAATACTGTATGTGAATGTTTTGAGCAGTTTCATTCATAATGGCCCAAACTGGAAACAACCAAAATATCCTCCCCTGGACAAATGGATAAACAAATCTTGATACACCCCTACAAACAAATACTTCTCAGCGGTAAAAGGAATGAACTATTGATAAAGAGTACAATGTATTACGCTATGTGAAAGAATCCTGATTCAGAAAGCTATATACAATATGACTACACTGAAATGACAATCTGGAATAAGGAATATCATAGGGATAGAAAATAGATCAAATGCTGCCAGGGGCTTTGGGTGGTAAGGGAGAAGATGACTACAAAAGAAAGTTGGGGGAACTTTTGAAGGTTATGGAACTGTTTTTGATTTTAAAGCTGATTATACAACTGTATGTGTTTGCCAAAATACACAGAACTGTACACTGAAAATGGCTCATTTTACTGTATACATGCTATATCTCAATAAATCTGACTTAAAAATCTGAACTTCATTTTTTAACAAAGAAATTTTAAGTTTGTATTCAAAAGAGAAGGTATAATTTCCAGTCATAATAACTATTTCCAAACCCAAGCCTGTTTGCCATCCTGCTTCTCTAGAACCACATACAAATGTTATTTTGGGGGGGGTGAGGTGAAGGGGACAGGCTTTATCTACTCACTGGAATTCCTGGTTGGCCACTCTCTCCATCTTTGCCGGGTTTACCCTATAAGATTAAAAGAAATGCAAGATTATAAACTTGTTATTTAGGAAGTATGAGATTAAAGAACATAACAAACTCTATCCCTGCCTTGGACTATTAAGTAAACTTTTCAGACTTTGCTATTACAATAAATAAATGAATATGATATTCTGAGACAAAGAAAATAGGAATTAAGAGGAAAGAATAAAATTACACACACACAAACACATATTTAAAATTTTTTCCAAAGAGAATTAGTGGTCATTATACTTACTCTTTTGCCAGGCTCTCCTTGCTCACCCTTCTCACCTTTCACACCACCTGGAGGCCCCTGTACACACAAAAGTGGTTTAACACTGGTTCATGGAGTGCTATGTATCAATACCAATTTACATTAAATGACATTAAAGAATTTTAGGTGACTTACTGGAGGACCACGTATCCCTGGAGGTCCAGGAGGCCCTCGGTCACCAGGAAGTCCCTACGCAGTAGTAGGGGAAAGGAAAGCAACATTAATACTAGAGCTAGCTAAGAATACTTTTAACAAACTGAACTAGAGACTCATGTAGTATAACCAAAGATAATAGGATGTTTCTAATTCAAAGTTGAAATCTGCTAGGCAAAAGAACTAAGAGCCATCTTTGGTTAATTCAGTTCATTTCTAATGTATGTACAAGCTGAGTTTTGAGGTAAATAAAAAGACAACACTTGAAATGAAATTATTAATGATACATTTTATGAAAAGCAAGAATACCTAAAACTAGGAGATATAGGGTCTATATAACACACATACATTTTGGCAGGGACTTAAATGACCCAATCCATATTGATGGTAGAGTTTCAGTACAATTTGTCCTTAATTCTTAACTTTATTATTAGCATTTAAGTGAAACAACAATGTACACACTTTGTTCAAGGGTGGGTCACTGTGCTATAAAAGATATGTATGATCTCATCTATTCTATAGAAGCAAGGTATCAGATAATTATTTCTAAACATGACAATGGTTTATAATAGCATCTTTCTCTTTGTATATCAGTGAAATATAGAGAAGACAGTCATCTAAGACAATGACCATCGACCTTACCATGACCTAATTTTGTACATGAATGCATTATTCATAATAGCCAAAAATGCTAACAATACAAATGTTCATCAACTGATAAAGGGATAAATAATATGTGGAATATTTACACAAGGGAACATTATTCAGCCATAAAAAGAAATGAAGTACTGATACATGCTACAATATGGAAGAACGTGAAAACATACTAAGTAGAAGAAGCCAGACACAGAAGACCATATACTGTATGATTCTATTTATGTGAAGTGATCAGAGTCAAGAAATCTACAGAGCCAAAAAGTAGATTAGTGGTTGCATAGGACTGAGAGTTTGGGGAGAAATGAAGAGTAACAACAAATACGTATGGGGTTTGGAGGGTGGCTGATGAGATTGTTCTAAAATTAGATTGTAGTCATGGTTTCACTACCCTGTGAATACACAAAAAAGAATGGAATTGTACACTTTAAATGGGTGAACTGTATGGTATGTAAATTATATTTCAATAAAGCTCTTTAAAATTTTAATTATCTCAAACTCTTTTTATTTTTAAAGTACCTTCCATATAATTATATTCCAGCTTATAATGCATTTTAATGGAATGCTGCTTTTATAGCAAAATGTTCATTGATTTCCTCTCTACATACTCACCTGATCTCCTTTCTGAAACTCTACATCAGTTGGTCTTTTCTGCTCACTGATCTGCCCAGGTGGCCCAGGGGGGCCCTGAAGACCTTGCTCACCCTGTTTGTAAGATTTAATAAGAAAGCAATATTTCATAATTTACACAGACAATAATATAAAATGTAAGCTAAGTCAATTGCAAAAAAACAAGCTCAAATCATGAGGAAAGGATAAAACTGAGGGCTGCATAATCAACATTTTTCTATACTCACCTTTTCACCCTTGGGTCCCTGGAAATTTAAGCCCATATTCCCCTGAAGAGAGAGGTTTTAGTTTAAAATCTCGTTGACACTAACAGAAAGAATTCACACCAAAAAAATGCACATAAAAGAAAATTACCTTTGGTCCTGGAAGTCCTGGTGGACCAGGAGGGCCCTAAGAAGAGAAGACACAGGGGAAAAAAGGATATATTAATAAGTTTATTAAAAAAAGTATTCAGTTTCAAAATCATTATTTGGTTTCATAAAAAATGAGGACTGAAAAAGCCCTTCAAAATAATATTTTCCTGTTTTTTTCTCAGATTTAAATTGATTTTAACAAGCCAAATGAATGTGGAGACTTCCTGTGACAGCAAACAAGTGGGTAGGGGAAGAAATACAAGGATATATAAAGGCAGGGAGGTAACACAAGTGCCAAAAATCAATACAAAAGTTAATTGCAACAAACATATCAAATTTCTCATATCAGAATTACAGGTAAATAATTTTGGTGTCTTAAGGAAATTAAATCTCTAGTTCTAAAAGCCTCCATTTACTTTTTTAGTTCAGTTTTAATTTTATGTGGCCTTTGAAATGTTTCAAGGCTTGAAAAGTTAAACAGGCTTTTGTTTGCCCTAGTATATCACCTCTTTGATCTCAATGTACCTATTCATTTACATATTGTACTCTGGTGGCATTTCTAAGACTTTGCTTCACCTGTTGAATCAGGGTTAATTGAAGGAACATTCAGAAATGCAGAGTGAATCAGTTATATAGCCACAAGAGTTGAGGAAATTCAAGATGTAACAACACACCCAGGGTATACTGATGTTGTAACAACAGAGTTAGGAAAAAGTGCCATAGTCCAGAGTCTCATGCTTTGCAAGATGTCTACCACCAAAACAGACTAAACAAAGGGGTTTTCTAATCCTATCATAGATATTTCCAGGAAAGCAGAATCAGTCTTTCTGGTAGATTCTTTTAGTATTTACCAAATGTTATTTCCTTCATTCAAGAATAGAGAACCAATTGTCACAAGCAAAACTGTGCAATCTATAAAGGAATAATGAAAACTGTCACTTAAATATATGGTAGATGAGAGATGGGGTGGCACATGAAAAATTACTTTGACTGAAGTCCAATTTTCTTGCCCTTTTAAGAAGCAAAGTTCTAAGTCCAAAACATGACTTGAATGAAATCAAAGTATTTCAGGGGCAAAAATACTCAGAATTTAATTACAGTAGAAAGTATGAGTGACCACAGAAGTAGTAAAGAAAACTAGCTGCGTAGTCAAGCTCTTTAGATGTTTTTGCTTCTTTTCTAGGATACACAAATCCTTATTCCATTGAAGAGTGACTCATTACCCTCACCAATCCGACTGTTTTGTCACAGGGCCCTCAGAAATGAGAGCCAATTTTTTTTTCTGAATACCCATTTTTGTTCCTCTTAAACAGAAAACTGCAGTTTGAAGAAACACATTTCATCAAGTGACTAGAGAACTGCCCTAGAAGACTTAATGCAATGGCTAGAATCAGCTTCAACACTGACACATCAAGAGGTAACCAATGAAATATTTTATTTAACATCTTTCCTTTTATGTACCTCATTTTTCCACATCTATAAAATGAAGCTATAACTTAGCATGTATATCGTTTACCATAGCATTTTAAAATATCCTGTAAATTAAAAAAATCAAATGTTTAGTGGCACCTGGGTGGCTCAGTCCATTAAGCAACTGCCTTCAGCTCTAGTCATGATCTTGGACTCCAAGGATCGAGCCCCTTGTCGGCTCCCTGCTCAGGGGGAGGTTTGCTTCTCCTTCTGCACCCCCCCAGCTTGTGCGCTCTCTCTCTCTCAAGTAAATAAGTAATATTTAAAAAATAAAAATAGGGTGTCTGGGTGGCTCAGTTGGTTAAGTGTCTGCCTTTGGCTCAGGTCATGATCCCAGAGTCCTGGGATCAAGCCCCTCATCGGGCTTTCTGCCCAGTGGGGAGCCTGCTTCTCTCTCTCTCTCTGCCTGCTGCTCTTCCTACTTGTGCTCTCTTTATATGTCAAATGGGTGAATAAAATCTTTAAAAAATAAAATAAAAAATATAGATTGTAAACATTGAAAATACATTATACTTTCAAGTAGTAGAAATAATATTACTATTCCTGAGAGAAAATTTTTTTTAAAGTAGGAGAAATGAAATTACAGAAGCAAGCTTACCATCAAACCTGGTGGTCCTGGGGGACCAATTGGCCCTGGTAAACCAATGGGACCAGCTGGGCCCTGTTATAAAGGAAGTAAAGAAAAGGATTAAAAAAAAACCCTCTCACCGTATCAAGCAAAGAACTAAATGAATGAAATTTTAACTTAAGTAATTGTCAGAATTTGGTTACACAATTCTACAATTCTGCAGTATTATAAGCAGAATTTTAAAATGTTTAAGAATAAAAGGATTAAGTAACTATAAAGAATTTCAACTAAAAAGAATGGCTACAGCTTTTACAAAAAGTTTTAGAAAACTTTTTACTTTTATAGTGGCAGATAACAAATAGAGGACAAACACATATAAGGAAGTTTTATAAAATAAAGTGATAAAGATGGGTGTTTAGTGGGCTTTTATGCCAGAAATGGGAAAAGAAGGACTACCAGTTTCCAGGTGGCTTTTCTATTTTAAAGTAAAAAATAACTATGTATTTACCCAAAGAAAATGAAAACACTAATTTGAAAATGTATATGCACCCCTATGTTTATTGCAGCATTATTTATAATAGCCAAGATATGGAAGTAACTCAAGTGTCCAACCATAGCTGAACGGATAAAGATGTGTTGTGCGCATGCATGCACACACGTGCGCGCACACACTAGATTACTCAGGCATAAAAAAGAATGAAATCTTGCCATTTGCTGTAATAACATGGATAGATCTAGAGGGTATAGTGCTAAGTAAAATGAGTTAGAGAAAGATAAATACTACAGGATTTCAGTCATTATATGGAATTCAAATTAAGAATTTAATCAAACAGAAAAATTAAAGAGACAATAAAAAAAGAACAGATTCTTAAAGAGAATAAACTGATGGTGCCAGAGAGGACACAGATGAGGGACTGGGTGAAATAAGTGAAACAGATGAAGAGTACACTTATTGTGATAAATACAGAATTGTGGAATCATTATATTGTACATCTGGAATGAATAAAACACTGTATGTTAATAATACTAGAATAAAACATTTTTTTAAATTTCAAAGGATGTAAAAAATTAATGAAATTAAATAAAAAATAAATAAGATTAAAGACAAGGAAGTGAGAATAACTGAGACAACAAATAAGGGAATGATGTAACTCTTGTGGAACACAATTTGGCGTCTTAAAAAGCTGAAAATTTAACTTCAGTGAAGTCCAGCAATTCCATATCTAGGTATAAATCCTGGATTATTTTGTAATTTTAAAAAATTCCTGAACAACCAAATATTTAATAATAGGAGATCAGAGAAACAAACTGTAGTATGTTTACACAACGTTATGTCATATGGAAGTGAAACTGAAATAACTACAGTCACATACAATAATATGGATATATCTTAATATATCAGATTGGAGGGGGAGACCAACCATGAGAGACTGTGGACTCTGGGAAACAAACTGAGGGTTTTGGAGGGGTGGGGGAGTGGGAGATAGGTAAGCCTGGTGGTGGTTATTAAGGAGGGCATGTATTGAATGGATCACTGGGTATGGTGCATAAATAATGAATTCTGGAATACTGAAAAAATAAAGTTAAAAATATATATATCAAATAGAAAAAGTTACAGAAAACTATATAAATTTTATGTTATTTTAAGAGGAAAATTAAACACTCTAGAGATACATGTATTTATGACAAAACTGTCTTTAAGAAACAACAGAAAACTCAAAATGGTACTTCTATCTTGGTAGAATGCAGAAGGCTGTGACTGTCAAGGAAACCCCAGGTTGATTCAAAATTATTTGAAATGTTCTCATTCTTAAATGTTATTTTGGATTCATAGATGTTCATTTGGTAGCTATGCTTCATAACATAAATATATTTTGTATGTATTCTGCTACATTTTTAAATATTACATAACTAAAAATTATAAGGGATAAGGGGCAAGATTGAGACTACTTAGGAGCACATGGATGGGTTTTGTCAAGCATGGAATGAGTTGGTAGTTAATGAAAAAATTCCCCAACACTGTATCTCACTAATCAAATATTAGAAAGTACTGTTATTTTTTGGCAAAGGGATCAATCTTTGTGAAATATAAACCTCAAGAAATTGACTACTTGATCTATAAATACTCAAAAGATGTTGCTCTCTTTATGCATGTTATCTATAGACTAGCATAACTTTTTTTCTTAAGATTATACTTGATGGGGGTGCCTGGGTGGTTCAGTCGCTGAGCATCTGCCTTCAGCTTAGGTCATGATCCCAGTGTCCTGGGATCATGCCGCAGGTCGGGCTCCCTGCTCCAGGGGAAGCTTGCTTCTCTCTCTCTTACTCCCCCTACTTCTGTTCCCTCTCTTGCTGTGTCTCTTTCTGTCAAATAAATAAATAAAATCTTTAAATAAAAGATTATACTTGATGTTTAGCATGCATAAATTTTATTCTTTCAGCCTTCAAAATATGTTCATATGTTATACATAACTAACAGTGTTACAAATGATGTCTTCTAATATCTTAAATGAGAGTCCTATAATTTTTATTTTTAATCAGACCATTTACAGTTATCAGGACTACTCCTACCACCTACTGATCCTCAGGACAGAAGAAAAAGAATACAGAAGTGTCTTTCTGCTGCCAAACCCCAAAACAAAAATTTCCACGGAAACTGGAGAGAAAGATAAAAGAACAAAGGAGTCCTTTATAAAATTCTCCCTGGTCCAGATTACTTTTATTTTCAGGTATGAGGTACATGCAATGTCTATCAAACTTCAGATAATTTCCGTAACTAAAATAGAGGGAACTAAAGACTGAAGGGAAAAAAATGATACTGTGATCTGATTTAATTAATAAAGAAAAGAAGAAAATCACTGGATACTTACTTGTATTCCAGGAGGACCTGGATATCCCGGATTACCCTTTGGTCCTGGCAGTGATGACATAATTATACTGCCTGGTTCTCCCTGAAAGAAATCATCAGTGGAAGTTGTAACAGTTATGACACATGAAAATGGGCAAGAGCACAAAAAAAAAAATCTGAAAATTAAATCTGTCATATAAACGTTCTGAAGATTAGGCTATCTCAGTAATTAACATGAATAAATTTACCTTTTAAAGGGAAATGGGGAAGTGGCCAGAATACACTGAAGTATAACCGATTTATTAAAAGCCTGTGGTACCTTCAGTTACTCATTCATTAAAAAACATTTATTAATTATTACTATTTTCCAAGAACTGTTAGGCTCTGAATATTCAGTAGTGAAGGAGATAAACAAGACCTCTGTCCTCATGGTGATATCAATGTACTGGCTTTGAAATGCAGATCAACACATGTAAATAACACGACAAAAGGTTCAGTTAAAGGCTATGGAGAAAAATAACATGGTACATGATAAAGAAAGTGGAGAACTGAAAAGAAGTGATAATTATGTGACATGATAGAGGCACCAATTATTGTTATAATGGCAACCATAATATATAAATGTATCAAATTAACATGTTACATACCTTAAATTTATACAGTGTTACACATTAAATATATTTCATTTAAAAAAAGATATAGTGGAAAAATAAGTTTAGGTAGTCGAAAAAGGGCAATCCATGAAGGCAACATGGAGGCTGAGATCTAAAGGATAATCAGGAGTCAGCCAGGTAAAAATGGGTTAAGAGTATTAGGTAGTTGAAGTAGCATCTACAAAGGTCCCAAAAAATGAAGAGCTTGGTACATTCAAATGACTTCATGCAGACCAGTGTGATCAGTGAGCCAAGGGAAAAGTGGTTTAAAGAGAAATCTGGAAATGTAAGCAGGGTCCAGAACATGCAGGTCTTACAGGCCTTGAAAAAGAATATGGACTGTATCTCAGATGCAGTGGGAAGCCCTTGAAAGTTTATAAGCAGTGAGATTAAATTACTGGTTTATGTTTTTAAAAGGTCATTCTTGAGTATTTAATCTAGAATAAGTCAAGCTGTGAGGTGAGGGATAGTGGGAAAAAAAAGACTAATTAAGAAGAAGCTATTATAATAGTCCAGATGAGACAATATGGTTAGTGTGGTGGCACTGGAGATGGAGACAAGTAGATGAATTTAAGATACATTTTATAGGAAAATTAACAGTATTTAGTGATAGAATGGAATGAGGAGGTGTGTGAAGGAGTAGAAGATGTAAATACTAACTTTCAGGTTTCAGGGGTCTGGGTTAACTTTGAACATGTTAATTTGAATGTCTCAGAGATATCTGAGTAGAGATGTCAGGGAGGCAGTTTAATACATGCATCTAATGCATAAAAAAAGTCTAGAGATATAAATGTAGGTATTCAGAAGCTAGAGAGTAAACAATACCATGAGTTTTAACAATATTGCTAGGCATAGAAGAGAAAAAGGGGTCAGAACTGTGTCCTGATACCTGCTACATAGAATAGAATGAGCTCCTATAGCAGACTGTGATGACCAAAGAGATATAGGAGAAAAATCATGAAAGGGTAGTGTCCCAGAAGTCAGGGAAAAAGAGCATTTCTAGAGGGAGCAGATGGTCAACTGCTCCAAAATGTGATAGGAACTCAAAGTATCAGAGAAGAAACTTGAGGGGCGCCTGGCTGGCTCAGTCAGTTAAGTGTCTGCCTTCAGCTCAGGTCATGATCCCAGGGTACTATGATCAAGCCTGGTGTTGGGCTCCCCGCTCAGCGGGGAATCTGCTTTTCCCTTTCCTTCTGCCCCTACCTCCACTCATGCTCCTTCTCTCGCTCAAATAAAATCTTTTAAAAAAAAAGAAGAAGAAAAGAAAATTGAGTCTGATATACACATTTACAAGTGTATCAGCACACAGAAGATACTTCCATGGAACAAAGGAGATTACTTAAGGAGGGCTTGTAGGTAACCACACAATTTGTAGAAACATCTATTTTAAGGCAGAAGTCAAGAGACATTATCTGATTGAAGCTGCAAGCTTTCTGAATATCTTATTCAAAATGTTACTTTCCTAGTATGAGATGCTTACCTTCATACCTGGGATCCCAGGAGGTCCCTATTATTAAAAAGAAAAGGATTATTTTATATATATGAGAGGGGTGCGAGCAAAAGAACACACTGCTTTCCAAATAGAGTCAATTAAATAGATTACTGTAGGGTCATTCTAAGTAAACAGTATCTTAGGATACATAAAGATGACATTTATATTAAATACAACAGAATGCTTGCTTTTATCCAGCACAGAGCTGTATTACCAACTTCTTTTTAAAAAGAATCTTTTTATAGTTTACTAGTTTTCAATATACTACTTTGCTCCACACAAATGGACTGAGCTCACTTTCTACACTTCTGCTTCGGTCAATTCCTGTGTTCATTATAATCTCAAATTGTATAACTTACTGGAGGACCCTGTAAACCAGGAAAACCGGGACTGCCTGGAAATCCACGTTCTCCCTAGGAGTTAAAAATAAAAGAGTATGCAAGAACAAGAAACAAAGCATAACTATACCAACAAACAATAAGTTGTTGAAAAGATTCCTGTAAAAGTCATTCTGAAACATGCCAGGTTGCCAAAAACTCATTATCCTCCCCTTTCCAATTACTTCAATATCAACTGTCCATATCAGTTCAGCTTTCTAAGATACTTTTATCCCTACTCAACAATCCTAATCAGAAATAAAGAAAAAATCTTCTACCCCAGTCATTTCCTTCTGACAAATCCATTTTGAGATGATCATACCAAAGACTCCTGGCCATCATCACATTTAATAGTTAATGATTTATCTCAATTTCCTGCCCATGCATTATATAGATTCTTATTTTAACTACCCTATCACATTTTTCTTTTATTGTAAGCTATTTCAAATTATTTTTGTAAAGAGAAAAAGATGGTAAGAAAGAATGCCATTAATATCACCAAAAGGACAATAACAGCAATAGTTCTGGCAATTGCAGGTCATTATGTTTTCTAGGCACCCGATTTTTCTCACTCACTATTGTAAAGTACTAATATGGACACTTGGTTTAGAAAACAAAAGTAAAATTGCTGTAGAAGAAGCCCAATGCAACCTCATTTCTAATGTCTACATGCTATAGTAATCCTAAACACATCCTTCTCAAAGGCTTAAAAGAGTAAGATTATTACAGCTGTGGGCCTTTGAGTTACTTTGTCCAGTACTCCTCTCTCCATCACTTTTTACATATGTAAAAAACTGGCCCAGAGATCTGTATATCAAGTTTAGAAGACAGAAAACAAAAGAACCCATGTATTCTGATTCCATCTCTAGGGCTCATTCTATTAGTTTCATAGTAAGAGATATTAAAAAATATTAATCTGAAAGTATACTTAATAAATTCCATTAAAAAATTTGTTGCCCACATAATGGGGGAGCCCTCACACATAAACTAATCATGAGATCTGCTAAGGTGCTGCTTTATAAAAAGAAAGAAAAGATCCCTTTCATCATATAGCAGACTATATGCATTGTGGATACATTGGTCTTCAAATTTAAAATTTTGGTTAGTGGTCTTTTTGTTGCTCAAGGCCTGCTGGCAAATAAACAAATAACCAGAATAGGCACAAGAATGTAGCCCACTTTAAAAGCAATGTTCCATGCAAACTACTCCACGTTAGTCCTGTCACTATAAGGCTGCCCCAGCTGAAATGAAGAACTCATGTAAGCCTCACAAATCCCCATCCCCCAAAAATGTTGTTGTTGACAAAGGTCACAGTAACCTGGAGCAATATTGGAGGTAAAAATAATTTTATTGCCTTCACGTATATATTGCAACAATTATCACAAAATACAGTCTTCATAATACAAAATAGTTTGTTCAAGTTATTTTACATATGTACCCTAATACAACATCTGACACATGCCATTAAGTTAGAAGGATCGAGGATATTTCATGAACAATTCCACAGAATATCATGTGCAGAATGGAAAATGCCAAAAGGATATATAGAAAATAAAAACATTGCATTAATAGACAGGAAAATGAAAAAGGTGAGGGAATAAGAACAGAGGCTATAATAAACAATCTGTCAAAAAAGCAAATTTTTCTCATTTTTTATCCTTGCTATCATCTTATAATAAATTCAAACAGTTGATGAAAGGTAAGAAAAGTGGGTTGGAAAAATGTTTTTCATATGTAAGGTTTTATTTTTCTTTTTAAATACTAAATTCATAATTTTAGCTGATAGAGAAGAGTTTCCATTTTCATACTAATAGTTTATAGTAAAAGTTAATGTCCTGTATTACAGGTAGATTTTTAGGATTTTTCTTAAGTTATTAGGCAAGGTAAAAAAAATTCAAAAACATGAATTTTTGAAATCTTACATTGTACCTAGTTTTAAAAAAGGCAAAGGTAATGAATGACATTCATTAAGTATTACTCTTAACAACTAACATAATATTTGAAACTTATATACCCTAATTCCTTTTTAACTCTCATCCTACTTTACACTAAAGTCAAAATAGGATTCAGTAAATAATCTTCAATCTAATGCAATATCTCAGCTGACTATCCATGTCTAAAGAATTATTGATCTTTCAATATATTGAAAATTTTAACACAAAACATATCCTATATATGTCTTAGATGCAAAGCTAAAATATCTCTAATATTCTTCATACTGATTTCCTTAAACTTTAAAATCTATTATTATCAAGCATATTGCCTAAGATTAAGATGAAAAAAAAAAAATCTCACCTTGGTTCCATTGCATCCAGGGATACCTTGAGGTCCTGGGGCCCCATCATGGCCTGGCATTCCCTTTGAAAAGGGTTATAACACATATATAATATTTCTTAGAATACTTTTGAAGGAATTTTCAATTAAAAAGCCAAATTCTACTTACAGGAAGACCTGGTGTCCCTGGAAATCCAGGAAGTCCAGGAGGACCCTATAATAAGAAAGAAATTCCTTGAACCAAACAACAATCAATAAAAATAAAATTATATCCTACCTAAGGGAGTTACAAAAAGTACATTTAGAATAGCAATGGACAAATGTGTCTCACTGATAATTACCATTCGCTTTCAATAAAGAAAGAAAACCCTCCTACATGTATTTAAAAGTCTCTTCTCCGGAAACTATCGAAAAAACTCCTATTTGAGGGAGCATTGTCTTCATTGCACTTACTTAGCAGGAGCGGGCAAATTCATGGAATAAATGTCTTTCCTAAAAGATAAAGTGGTTGTCCCAGGTTTGTGATGAATACAGAATTTAGCAGGGGATGGGTAAGTGGCAAATATATCTGCTCCTGCGAACATCAGTGTGATTGCTCCAAAAACTCCTCAAATTTCCCTGTCAGAATTGGCAAAAATACAAGTTTGACAATATTCTCTGTAGGTGAGACCCTGTAAAAGAGGTACTCTTACACACAGCTAATGGGATTCAAATATCATGGAGAGAAATTTGAAGTAGCTAGCTAGCAAAATTACACGGTTTTACCTTTTGAAGCAACCCACTTCTAAGAACCTATCCCAAAGCTACACTAGAAATTATGAAACAAAATCTGAATTTCAAGGTTACTGATTACAGAATTGTTATAACTAAAGTTTAGAAATACCACATAGGGGTGCCTGGGTGGCTCACTAGGTTGGGCATTTGCCTTTAGCTCAGGACATGATCCTCAAGTCCTGGGATTGAGCCCCACGTTGGGCTCCCTGCTCACTGGGGAGTCTGCTTCTCCTTCTCCCTGCTCATGCATGCTCTCTCTGTCCCTCTTAGTCTCTCTCCCTCCCTCTCAAATAAATAAATAAATAAATCACATCTTAAAAAAAAGAGAGAGAGAGAGAAATGGCTATGGTGAGTGCTGTGAAATGTGTAAGCCTGATGATTCACAGACCTGTACCCCTGATATACACAGCCTGTAACATATAATACATTATACATTAATAAAAATAATTAAAAGAAATCACCATATAACCATAATTATTGCTAAACACTCGAAACAATAGGGGCATGACTAAATAAATTATGGCACATCCACATAATGTAAACCTATACAGCCCTTAAAAAGAATGAGAAAGATTTCTGTGTACTGAAATATGTAGTAATCTCCAGGATACAATGTTAAGTAAAAGAAACAACGTGTAAGTAGCATATATAATATGCAATACTTTTATAAGAAGGGTGGAGACACTAAACAGTGAAAAGATAAAACAAAAAATAATAAAAATAACCACATCTATCTTTGGGGTAAATACCCAGTAGTGCAATGGCAGGGTCATAGGGAAGCTCTATTTTTAATTTCTTAAGGAATCTCCACACGGTTTTTCAAAGTGGCTACACCAACTTGCATTCCCACCAACAGTGTAAGAGGGTTCCCCTTTCTCCACATCCTCTCCAACACACGTAGTTTACTGTCTCCTTAATTTTGGCCATTCTAACTGGTGTAAGGTGGTATCTCAATGTGGTTTTGATTTGAATCTCCCTGATGGCTAGTGATGATGAACATTTTTTCATGTGTCTGATAGCCATTTGTATGTCTTCATTGGAGAAGTGTCTGTCCATGTCAAAGATACAGATGTAGTGAAAAGAAGGGCCATCTGTACCCCAATGTTCATAGCAGCAATGGCCATGGTCACCAAACTGTGGAAATAACCAAGATGCCCTTCAACGGATGAATGGATAAGGAAGATGTGGTCCATATACACTATGGAGTATTATGCCTCCATCAGAAAGGATGAATACCTAACTTTTATATCAACATGGATGGGACTGGAAGAGATTATGCTGAGTGAAATAAGTCAAGCAGAGAAAGTCAATTATCATATGGTTTCACTTATTTCTGGAGCATAAAAAATAACACGGAGGACATCGGGAGATGGAGAGGAGAAGGGAGTTGAGGGAAATTGGGGGGGAGATGAACCATGAGAGACTACGGACTCTGAAAAATAATATGAGGGTTTTGAAGGGGCTGGGGGTGGGAAGGTAGGTAAGCCTGGTGTTGGGTATTATGGAGGGCACATATTGCATGGAGCACTGGGTGTGGTGCATAAACCATGAATTCTGGTACACTGAAAAGAAATTAAAAAAATAAAAAATTTAAAAAAATTATGTCTAATGGGGAAAAGGTAGAGGCAAGAGGAAAAACAATGGGGGGATGGCAAGAATGGGTAGGAAGCATCTCTGACTATACCATTATTAGAAAACAATGTAAATATTTTAAATAATTAAAACTAACAAGTAAAAAGAGGCAAAAAGAGAAAACTATTAAAAATTGAAAACAAACTGGAACCAATGAACTTAATATATATCTGGTTGTTGACATAAACCATGCAAAGAAAAAAATTACTTCAAGTACCTTTAAAACAGATATTTCACCTGTACTTTATTAGTGAAACCAGTCAATTCAAAGAGGAAAAAAAGAACAGCAAAGAAATAATGGCACTTAAGAATTCTATCATTACTACTAAAATTGAAATCGTTATTTTGTTCACTTGCAAATTGTTATTTTGAAGCTATCATAGGTATATTGTAGGATAAAGAAAATAATAAATTATATTAATGTTATTTAGGAATCGAGATTTTCACCAAAGGGAGGGGAAGGTGGCAGGGGAAAGAGAAAGTATACGAACTCTTTTCACTTTAAGTTTCAATTGGAAGTAATAATATAAACTCATAATATTTTTTCTCTTTAGAAAATACCTTTTTTCTTAATTCTGTCAACTGAAAAGACACCAAAATAATTGACTACCAGTAGCAAAGAAAACCCCTAACATTAGATTATGGTATCTAAATCGTATTTTTTACTAAAAAGAGCCTAGAATCAGATACATGGCCAATTTCAGATCTGGAGAGGAAATGTACAAAATGAGCCTAAGGAGTCCTCTATCAAAAAGCAAGGAAGTCATCAAAGATCAATATAGTTTTTTCAAAAGGACACAGGACAGGGGCCAAGTTAAAGGGATTCCCACAAGCCAAAGATAGGATAATTTTGGCTTCAAAAATAATAATGAGTATAAGTGACTGGTACCATAAATTCCATGTGTTTATAATGATAACAAATTCTTAAAACCTTCCCGACCATCACTCAAAGTTGCTGGTGTATTATCTCACTACCCTATTAGAATTCCAGCTGATAAATTAGAATTCTAGCTAATAAATAATTTATAGAATTTTAAAAATCACCATTCTGAAACTCTGAACAAAACATGGATCTAGGCAATGATCACCAATGAATACTAAACCATTAGATGAAAGTTGATGGGGAAATTCTGATGGCAAAATCAGGCTCATATACCTGAGACAACTGATCAAGCCTAACATCAAAAAAGTGGGATAACAGATGTTTGTTCCATAAGATGTAATTCAATAGTAAGTATGCAGCACTATGTATATAGTATTCTTTTTCTATTTTCTTTCATATTGTGCAGTATAATTTATATATAGTATAATACACAAATCTTAAGTACACAGATCTTTCTATATCCCCAGAAAGTTCTCTAGTGCCTCTTATAAGGTAACCTCCAGTCTGCATGAAATATGGGGACAGACGAACAATTAAAATGACATCATGGGGGTGCCTGGGTGGCTCAGCCAGTTGCGCATCTGCCTTTGGCTCAAGTCATTATCCCAAAGTCCTGGGATCAAATCCAGCATCCCCTTCCCTGCTCAGTGGGGAGTCTGCTTCTCCCTCTCCCTCTGCCCCTCCCCCACTCATGCACATGCACATGCGCTCTCTCTCTCGCTCACTCACTCGCTCTCAAATCTCTCAAATAAATACAATCTTAAAAATATATAAAAAGAAATAAATGACATCATGAAGAAACAGTCTTATCCAGAATGTAGAATGAAGTATAATACAAATGACCCAGTTTCTCCAATAGCATAATAAAAGAGGCTTAAGAAACACAGCAACAAAATAAATAAATTAAAAAAATCTTAAAAAAAAAAAAGAAACACAGCAACCAAATGCAATATGTGGAACTTGATTGGATCCTTGTTTGAACAAACCTACTATTAAAGGACATCTACCATAGAAATCTTAATAAGGACTGCGTTTTAAAGTATATTTGAAAAATTATTGCTACTTTTTTCAGGTGTCATAATTGTATACTGGTCATGTGGCTATCAGTAGACATCTTGAAGTATTCATTGGTGGAATGAATGATATGTGGGATTTACCTAAAAATACTCACCCCCAAAATAGTGGTGGGTTATAGATGAAACAAACTTGTCAAAATGTTGCTAACTTTTAAAGCTGACTGATGGGCACATGGGGTTCACTGTACTATATTCTCTGTACATTTGGGTATGCTTAAAATTTTCGATAATAAGTCTTTTAAAATTTGGATGTCAAGATTGCCTATGGGCTGAGAGGCAAGGATGAGGAACTATCAGGCTACCTATTCCTATGTACTTCTGAAGTTCTAGTTGAGGGACATAGACTACTCAGGTACTTTCAAGTAGGAATTGAAAGAATGGACAAGGTTTTGAGTTTCTTTCCTGTTTTGAGCTTCTCTCCTGTTTATCCAGTTCCCTAAAAAACACCAGGCATGAGTAGCACAACAAACTATATGTTGTCAAGAAGTATACAGCAAACAGAATGTTTTTAATGTTTATGTAAAATTTGTAGAGCTACTAAATTTCTGGAGATCAAGGGATCAGAATGTTTAACTGTCTTTGTCACATAAATAAATATGTTATGTCATCACTCATGTACTTTATACTTGTATTAAAGGGCTTTGTCAATCTATGAACACAGAATTTTGGAGCTAAAAAGCACCTTGGAGATTGTATTGTTTAACTCTCTAATTTAACAAATGAAGAAACTGAGTCTCAGAAAAGTTAAATACGACTTTCCAAAAGCCAGGACTATTTTTAAACTAGTTTCCCCCAATTATGAAACACACTGAAAGATATATGTCAACCTAAAAGCTTTTCAGAAAAATTACTCTAAATATGCACTTCCATTTTGAGACAAATCCTGGTTTTCCGAACATTAACACAAAAAATTATACATCTTAGAATTGAGAAAATGTTGTATACTTCCAAAGTAGTTACTTTTTAACACAGTGGTTTAAATTAGTGCTTCCCAAACTGACTCTCTTCAAGATAACAAAGAAAATTATAATATTTGTATGTGGTACACGAGGAAGGATACACAACCTGAAGTGATTGCCCCTCTGAACCCAGAGGACTGAGATCACATGGTTGGGAAGTTCTGGTTTAATGTATGATACATGTTTTTAATAAATTGATAAACTGTTAGAATTTATCACTTTTGTATTTCTTATCAATAAACTAATTTAAAATCTTACATTAGTTTAAGCAGACATCTGGATACATAGGTAACTACCAAAATACTAAAGAAAGGCTAATTGTAGACATATACCAACTCTTACAGTTAACTTTTTAAAGACTATATGTCTCTTTTTGCATTTTAATATGAGTCTTTTTCGGTTGTCTCACAATACTTCATTTGCTTTTTCTCTGTTTTGACCAACAAAACTTTTGATATACAGCAAATATCACTTACTCTGATTCCTTTTGGTCCCGGTGGCCCTGGAATTCCATCATCACCCTGAAAAACACAACATATTTAGTTCTTGTTCCTCCAAAAATAGCCCTCAAAAAACTAATTTTACATTATAACAATAAGAGACTTAAATTTTTGTGAATCTTTGTGAAAGTGAGAAACTTACATACCTAAGAAAGAAGCATTTATCATTGATACTGAAAGCACTGAGGTAAGTTATAAAAAAAAAAAAAAAAGAAAGGTCTTCACTTATTGAGAAGAAAACTGCTGACATGTAGCAGAAACTTTGTATCTGTAAAGTGAACCCTGAAAATCATACAAAACGAAGATGAAATAGTGGTACTGATACTCCTCAAATCATTCATGTATAACCCAAATACAAGCTGAAAATCTGGGCAGTTTCTATATTGTGTCGATCTGCTTGCCATGCTGGTAATAAAAAGTATCATTTCTTTTCTTTTTAAGATTTTATTTATTTCCTTGACAGAGAGAACACACACACAGCAGGGGGAGCACAGGCAGAGGGAGCGGAAGATGGAGAAGCAAGCTTGCGGAAGAGGGAGCCTGATGTGGGGCTTGATGCTGGGCTCAATCCCAGGACCCTGGGATCATGATGTGAGCCGAAGGCAGACACTTCATGACTGAGCCACCCAGGTGCCCCAAATAGCATCATTTCTGAGCTCAAATATGTGCTGCTCTTGAGTCTGCCATTTTAAACCTTTGCTTTGTTTTATAAGGCACTTTCTACTGGCAGAGCTCAGGAAAGAAAGAACCATAGACTTTCTAAATTTCTTCTGTAGACTCCATGAAAAAGAGGTCTGCCCACCTCTGTGTTAATCTATGTACCCATTTCTAAATTACAGTTGCATTGCTGAGAATTTTAAGTTTTGCCTCATTAAGTTTTTATTAACTAGTTTTTTTTTAATGGAATAAAGAAAACCTAATTCTACTCCAAAAGATGAAAATTTCAGTGGAGTATACAGCTAGTAGGCCACCACCTGAGGCTTTAGATAGGTTTTATTAACCTGGGACATCTTGCTTTACACAAGTGGTTTCTGAATTACACAACTCATAACCTTAGAGGTTCCACTGGAGGTTCCTTGAAGCCTATGTCACGGAGCTCCTTCCAATAGCGCAGCTCTATTTCTATGTTTTATGTGGGGCTTCCATAAAAATTTTCATTTGGAACAAAGGTTATCTAGTGTTTTAGTTTCTTATGCTACTGTTATAAATTACTACAAACTTAGTGGCTTAAAACAATACAATCTTAGAGTTCTGGAAGTCAGAAGTATGGCAGTGGTCTCTGTGGCAGAACCCTGTGGTTTTTTGTAGGTTCTAGGAGGAGAATCCATTTCCTTTTTTCCAGCTTCTAGAGCAGCCAGCATTCCTCAACTCATGGCCCTCTTCAATCTTCAAAGTCAGCAATGGTTAAATGAATCTTTCTAACATTGTATCAATCTGACACTGACTCTTCTGCCTCCCTCTTCCACATTTAAAGGACCCTTGTGATTATAGTGGCCCTACCCAGATAATCCAGAATAATCTCTTTACTTTAAAACCAGCTGAATAGAAAGTTTAATTCCATCTGCAATCTTAATTTTGCTTGTCTCTATAACCTAACGTATTCACAAGTCCTGGGGATAATATCATGGACATTATTAGGGGGTAGATATTATTCTGCCTACTATACCTTGCTTTTTAGAAAGTTTAATAATCAACTCTTTCCACAACAGATGTATCTCTAAGCAGATTAAAGTAAATCTAATTCTATTTTAAAACAACCAGAAGGCTGTTTGCTTAATGAATCTTTTTGCGTCTTTCCACTAAGGGCAGAAATAAGACAAAGATTCCTTAATACTGTGCTGGTTGTCCTAACCAACATGGTTAAATAAGAGGAAAACAGAGGTATAAAAATTGTAAAGGATGAGGCAAAACTACCACTATTTGCAAATAATATGATTGCATGCAAGGAAAGCAAAGAAAATTACATGAAAATCTACTATAATCAGTAAGATAATTCAGAAAGATAACTGTGTAACTATATATAAAATTAATATGAGAAAACAAATAGCTTTCTTAAATATTAACTACCAGTTAGAAAACATAATGGAAGAAAATATGCAATTTACAATAGCAAAAAGGGGTAAAATATGTAGGAACAAACTTAATAAGAAATGTACAAGATTCACAAGAGGAAAAGCTTAAAGCATTTCTGAAGTTCAAAAAGGAAGATGAAAATAAATGGAAAGACATTCCATGTTCTTGGATAATAGGAGTCAACATAAAAAAATGGTCAATTCTCAACAAATTTAGTTAAAATTTGACACAATAAAAATAGAAATAACATGAGTTTTTTTTTTTTTCAAACTGAATAAGGCGACTCTAAAGTTTATATGGAAAAATAAACAAGCAAGGACACTGAGGAACATTCTGGAAAAAAGAAAAAAATGAACAGTAAGGGGAAACTGGCCCTGTCAGATACAAAAATACAGCATAATACATCAATAATTAAAATAGTTTTGTTCTGATATTTGAAAAAGCATATCATTGAAAGAGTATGGAAGGTCTAAAAACAAGTCCATATATTCATGTGAATTTGGTTTATACTGAAAGCTGTACTGCAAATCAATGGGGAAATTTATACTGAGACACACTTGTGAGGACATCTGGAAAAAAAATATAGGTGGAACCTATATAACAAACCACACACAAGAATGAATTAGAAATAGATATTTACATGAAGAAATGAAACTATTAAAATACTAGAAGAAAAAATGGGAAAATTATTTTATAATCTTTCAGTGGGAAAGGCATTTCCTACTCAAATCCAAAAGCCACAAAGGACCCCTGAGAAATGCACAGAGACACATAAATACACACACACACACACACACACACACACACACGCGTGCGCGCGCAAACACAGGCACATACTCAGCAAAGACATGACAAACTAGGGGAAATAACTGCAACTCACAACACAGACAAAAGGTAATCACCTAATATATAAATAGCTCATTAACACATAAATCCCCCAAGAATGCTATAGAAAAATGGGCAAATGAAAGTTCATAGAAGACAGTTCACAGAAAACACAACTGATTCTTTGACCTATGAATAAAGCTTAATCTCACTCTTAATAAGAGAAATGCAAAAGCATTGAGAGACCATTCATTTTTAATCTGTCTGATTGACAAAAAGCCGAATTTCATGATACAGGTGGGTATAAGGTATAAGGTATAAGGAAATTGCTCTTCTTGTATATTGTGAACCAAGGATAAATCCTACAACTTCTTGTGGGGCAATTTGGCAGTATCCATAAAAATACATAAATACAAGTACCCTCTGAGCTAGCAATATCATTTCTAGTAAAGAGTTAATCCCTCATGGGGGAAAGAAGTCTATTAAAATTGTACATCTTAGTAGCACTGTTTGTAGAAGAAAATACCTGAAAATTATGTAACTGATCATCAATAGCGGACTGGCTTAAGAAATTATGGTTTATACACACAACGGAATATAATGCAGTTATAAAAGATAATGAGAAGGTTCTGTGTATACTGATATGAGGTATCTACAATGTGCTTTACATGAAAAACAAAGGTCAAACATGTTGACTATGCTACCACTTTATAAACAAAGGGAGGTAAAAGTGTGTCTGTGTGTATATGAGCATGTGTGTGCATGTATATATTTGTATCTGTATGCATATCCATAAAAACCACTGAATATATTCACAAGAAAGTATTAGAAATTGGTACCTATTAGGGATATGTAAAACTCAGTGGCTAATGTTCACAGGTGGAAAAGAAATATTTTTCACTATGTACCTTCTTATATTATGTTAATTTATTTTCAATAAACTGAATATATTATCTATCAAAAATTAATTAAATTTTATTTTTAAGAATACAAAAATCCTTTGGAAAATTATATCTATACATTCCTATTTATGTATTTGTTTAATGTATCTTTACTTTCATATATAAGAATATAAAGATTAAAGAACAATCCTATGAAATTTTTGACTGGGCATATATGTTAATATATATATGCACATACTAGAACACTGAATCACATAACAAGTATAAATTCAGCTATGCTGGGAAGCATGAAGTCATACTGGTGGTAGAGTCACAAAGTGTTTCAAATTTAGAATCCCAAAAGTTTAGAAAGCAGTATAGACTTCTCATTATACAGATATTAAAATGGAATCACAGCAAAATATTGGGCTACTTTCTAAATCTAAAATGCATACCACCACACCTTTAAAAAATTATTTTACTATTGTACAATAGTTCTAGTTAATGCTACACTATTTCAAAGGGATTTGGATGTAGTTAACTTTTTTTAAGCTGCCACAAATCTTTATTAAAAGTGCTACCTCTCAATAAACTACCTCTCAATAAACACAAGAAACTTAGCCCCTATTCCTGGGCAAAGTCAGGTGCAAGAAATGTCACTTCATTTTCCTATGGTTCAGCTTAATTTCTATTTCAAAGCACGCACTTCACTAACATGACTGAAATTTAACCTCAGTTGATTGAAGTCCCAACCTCATTTTCGTAATGCTGTGCCTAAATTATGGAGAATGTAGGGAGCTCCAAGTTGTTGAAGGGTGGGACAGTCCCCATCCAAGCTGGAATTACTGAGATGTCCCACACCAGTAGTATGTATGGATTACTGCTGACTTGGTGCTCAGTTCCAACCACTTGACTCTTTCAGATCTCTCTGCTATTTCTGTGCCACTCCTGGGTACACAAGAAACATTCTGCTGTTTTTACACTTCATTAGCCCTAAGAAATTCTGTTAAATGTCCCATCTACTTAACTTCTATGCAGTCATTCAGAGTCTTGCTTTTTCCTTCACATACATAAAGTTCCACTCAGGAAATTCAGCACAGGTCCCTTCTGCTCTTGAATCTAACAAAACTATCATGATGTACTGTCACCTCCTCAGAGGTCATGCCCAAGCACACACCCCCAATCTACGCTCTGATATAGTTAAGTGTTTAAAAGTACTTATGTATTTAAATTAATTTCCTCCTTTATTGGAAAGACTACCTGATGAGTATCCATTTCATCTCAATACTCTAGTAACATAATGTACCACTATTACGTGAAATAAGATTAGGAAAAAAAAGGTTTTTAGACTACTTTTCCTTTCTAGGCAAATGAATAGAACTGGCCCTTTCATTGTCAGTCCACCAATCTACCTAATACAGAAGGTAAAGGACAATCAACCGAAAGAACTATTTTTAGAAAACCCAGGAACTTCTCCGAATCTTAATATTCGCTATGCTCTCTTCTCATTCCCTATCTTAACATGCACATAAGATGCTATCCTCACTAATGGTAGAGGAGCGACTACCTGTGTTGCAGTCAGTGGGGATAGGACAACGGCACCTTTGGATCCATGAGCCCGGGTACAGGACAGAAAGGCTATATGGATCTATCCTCTCATCTTTCTCTCCCACAGAATAGCCTATGTGACTTCTACCTCACCAAATTCACTGCTATACCTGTCCCAGGAAACTGCCACCAGTCTGAATTTGATAAACTGCTGAGTATGTCACCCACCATTCAATTCCATAGATAAATACCTTACTGCCGTGCCACTGAATATAACAAATGGACATTTCTCTCAACACGGAACTTTTTAGCACCTCAGATACCCCAACCTTATTACACTGGACCTGATGTTCCCACAGTTAGACTCTGAGAGTACAGAAACAAAATGCCTCCTCACAGGTAATATTGCTGCTTTCTGAGATGGGATTCACTGAAGCATCTGGGGAAAAGGAAGTGGGATGTGCCGCTGGGCCTATTTTGACCTCAGTAGTGGCGGCCTCCTACTCCCCATAACTGTGCTCACCCTACACAAATTTTTCCAATTCTACTCAAGTACTCTACCCACCAGAAGGGACTTCTGGCTCACTGACCCCTACTACCAAGCACTGTATATGTGTCTCCCCTGGGGTATTATTTCTTTTCTAAAAGTCAGGCATTCAACATTCTTACCAATATAACATGTACACATGGGGCATTGGTAAGAGACTGTCACATATTCAAGACAGCCCCTCCTACTGAGCATATCAAACTAAACAGAGGAAGAGGAGAATTCCAAAACCAGGTACTCTGGTTACTGAGAACTGACATGTTGTATTATCGATTATACTCATGTGTATTCACCAGGCAACTTTTCCCACTCAGGATCATTCAATTCCAAAAATGTGTGTGCAACCTGTCTTTGACCTTTACTTAACTCATTAATGAAACTACTTCAGTTTTAGCAGCAGAACGGACTAGCCTCAATTCCTTGGCCCAAACGGTGTTAGATAACAGCACAGCCCTTAACTTCCTGCTGGCCAACAAAGACGAGGTCCTCACTGGTACTGTTTCATGGGGAAAAATGGAACAGTGGGGAAGCTGGTGCTTTTGCTGGTTAAACATTTTGCTTATTACACTGCCACAGTAAAAGGCTTGATGGTTTCTTTCATTTTGGCTTGATTTCTTAATCAGCTACTCTGACATCTGGCAGTTTAGCTCTCCAGCTAAGCTGAGCTCCTGACAAAACTTAATCTTTGTTAAGGATCTCAATAACCACATCCAATTAACAGCATCTTCCAAAAACATCTGAATATGGCAGTAATATTCAGGTTTTTTAAACCAACAATAAAATACAGACTCTTAGTTATTCTATTGTTTTATTTAGACACTAATTTCTGGCTATAATCCAGTAACTTCTTAGTTGATTTGACACCTAGTCCCACATTAAAGATGGCTTCATGCCTCTAGTATTACTGGTTGGCAACCTGACACATACCTTTTGTCCCCGAGGCCCTGGAGGCCCTTCTGGACCTGGAAATCCAGGCAAACCTGGATGGCCTTCCAAACCTGGAAATCCTCTCTCCCCCTGCAATTGAACAAAGTGAATATTATTTGTGATGAAGTTATTTGTGAATTTCCAAGCATGAGTATGGTTGAGATTAAAAAGAACCAAAAGACTAGAGAATGTTAATTTAATGATACTAAAATCATAATATCTACTAACATGGGAAAACCTACAAGATGTAAGTGGAAAACCATAAACCATTCTGAATTTATATCATATATTGTAATGTAGTCTCTTGCTTTCTTATAAAACTAAAAAGCATATCAGAGATGAGTTAAAGTTTAAATATATTGACATCAAGAGTTTAACAAGGAAGATAGCAATAAATCCAGGAAACTGGTCTGTAGGGGATTCATAAAATAAGTATGGTACAGGGATGAAGAAGTATTAAAAAAACCATCTGAGAAGTTTTCAGATTTATTCCAGAGTAGGGCAGTTGCAGTATTATCCAGAATAGAAATTCATTAGCTGATGAGATAAATTAGTCAGAAAAGGGCTCTAGAACATTAAAAATTTTATATTTCTTCTAGTTGTAAAATTAATACAGAAAGGAATACATGGTCATTATAGAAGAACAAAAACCATATACCCGTTTTCCTCTACTCAGAGTTACTAATTGAACTGAACTCAAGTCTCAGTTCTGACCACAGCACGTATCAACACCAGCACAGAAGGGCTCCCAACCTACTAGTGAGGTTTCCTACATTTGATCAGCATCTATACAGTGTTGCCTGATATGCATATCTGCACAGACAGGTGGGCATATAGAGCTGCCATCTATACTAATATATCATTATATCAACATATTACGGTTAGTTAACTTGCATATAGCCAATTATGGAAAGAGTGTGAGCCCTGAAACCCCTAGGAGATCCAACCACAGAAAGCAAACTCGTCACTATTAACTTTAAGAACCCTGAGGGCTCAGAGCTCCAAGGCTTGTGCTCCCAATTGCAGAGCTGCAAATAGTTCCTCTACTTTTCTAAGGCTTGAAGGCTGAGTCTCTGGCCAGGGGCTCTGGACCTCATTCTAGGAACCCTTTCACCAGATCCTATCCACAGTGACAGCCTAGACAGCACCTGAGAAAGAAAAAGCATCCATATCTATAAGGCAACTGACTAATGGACCATTGGAGGCACATACTCCTAGAGGTTAAGGTAGGGTAGATTTTTATTACACCCTCAGTGTGTGTGTGTGGGAGGGAATGTGTGTGTGGTAAGTACTAAGTTTAGTCTAGATAACTTAGATAATTTTGTATTAAATAATTCTTTGTTATGCTGACTCACAATAAATATAAGTACTATGAAGAGGCTATTCTGGTCAGTTTCCACTCCCAGTGACAAAGGCAATGAAGCAAATGTTAGCCAATTAATGGTAGGTCTAAACATTCCTATAGTTTTGGCAATACTTACTATTGACATGTTAACATGTTTTCTCTCTCTTTATTTTCTATAAATATATTTCTTTGTTATTTTAATTAGCCATATAATTATGATAATTTAGTATTAATCAACCTCATCAATTATTTTGAGGGAAATAGAGCAAAAGGGAAAAAAATAAAAGGTTCAAAATTTCTAGAGCTGGATTGTCTCAAATTGTTACATAGTCCATCTTTGGGAGAGTTGGTAGTAGAAATGAGATTGCAAGTGCAAGTCAGAAAGGAAACTAAAAGGGAAAAAAATCTAGTTCAAGTAGATTTCCTTAAGTGGAAAACATAGCTACATTCTGGGATCTCCACTAGTATTTAAAACATCTCTCTGCCAAAACTTGAGGATAATGCTTGAAGAGAGCTATTTTTTTAGAAGCAAAACTGCTATTTGGGCTATACATAAGAGAGGAATAAACCAGAAATTGAAAGTGGAGAGTGCTAAAAAGCTTGTGTGTATATTAACATAACTATATACCCCAAATCTCCTGATACTACAGTTAAATAATGTTGTGTTCCTATCTAGCTGACTGAGCAGTATTATACCAAGGAAGAGAGAAGGGCACCTAATGTACAGTAGCAAAAAGAATTTCAAGAACAATCCCCAGCCTTCAAAAGGTAGAAAGTTTCCAGCAATAGAAGCTATAGAAGCCTGCCATGAGGTGGGGTGAGGGAGGGTCTTCTATCTAATTCCCACAGATGGTATGAAAGGTTCACATTTGCTATTTGCCTGCCTTTGCTACTGGTGGCAAGGCAATCATTCAGTCCTTAAAACTAATCTACAGTTTACTATAATTTGCTAACATTCACATAGAAAATGGCAATAGTACGTCTATTTGTGAAGGCCAAACTTCTTTTAAAAAAAAATAGCTTATGCTGCCTGCCTATATTTAAATAAAAAACTACTCTTACTTTTCATTGTGGAGTAATCTTCTCTCTCTACCTGTCACTTATATATTGCTATTACTCTGGATTCCCTTTTTGACCCTCCTCTCTCTTTCCCCGAGAGATCTCAAATATCCACACTTTTTTTTCCCCTAAAAGTTAAGCTCACAGGGCCAACTGTTTTAAATATCTCCACTTGAATATCTCACAGGGACATAAAACTCAACAATAATGATAACAAACATGTATCGAGCTAAAGTGTTCCCAGGTTTTATTTATTTAATTCTCCCAGTGACAACATGAGGTAAATAGCACCATTATTTCAATTCTACAGATGAAGAATTGGGACACAGAAAAATTATGTAATTTTCCCAAGAGCAAATTTAATATAAAAAACACTGAGTTCATTATCTTTCTACCATCTTCCCTGTTCCAGGAAATAGCACAATGTAGACCACAAATTTGTAATAATCTTGACTCTACTCTTTCCATTACCCCTTCATCTAATTGAGCATGCTATTTCCATCACTGCATTCTTTTTTTTTTAAGGATTATTTATTTATTTATTCGACAGACAGAGGTCACAAGTAGGCAAAGAGACAGGCAGAAAGAGAGGAGGAAGCAGGCTATCTGCTGAGCAGAGAGCCCGATGCAGGGCTCGATCCCAGGACCCCCTGGGATCATGACCTAAGCCAAAGGCAGAGGCTTTAACCCACTGAGCCACCCAGGCGCCCCCCATCACTGCATTCTTAGTAACCAACAGAACAAATACCCAGAAAATATCCATTCTATGAATGAATTTCCTTAATGGATTATATAACACTTATGGGCAATGTTTTTGCCCCAAATACAGAAAAAGTATAAGCGAGGGTTAGGGGAAATTATACAAAGGATAACTTTTTGTGCTAAAGCTCTTTTATATACCACAAGCTAGTATTAAAAAGAATAACAAGCTAATTTACTTAGAAAGAAAATGTACTTTGTCAGTCAAAGGTGCCCATAAAAGTGTTTCAGTTTTACAGGAAGGGCACTTTATAATCACAATAAGAAAATTACCTGATCATGGAAATGAAAAAATATTTTTAAGAATGGTTTCTCAAGAAAGATACAAAATTAACAGGAAAAACACTGGATTTCTGAAGATAGAAAAAATAAACAGGGGGACAAACTGCTATAATGACCATTGAAATTAAAGTTGTTTTTGGATTATAATATTGCAAAATTGTAATACAAACATATGGGCGAGGCAATATCATTAATGGACAAATGAAAACAATTATTAACTAAAAATGCAATTATGGGCAATTTTGTCTTATTTTTGAGTAATTTCTATGTTTTTGTAATTATATAGTACAAAGAAATATTTGATGTATATAATCAGGAGAACAAGAATATTGACCTTTGACAACTGCTAAATGATGATAATTTAGGTCAGATGATCTCAAACTTCAGCTTGCATCAAAACTGCTTGATCAACTCATTAAAACACAGATTACCTGGTTAGAGTTAGATTCAGTAGGTCTCCTATGGAGCCTAGGAAACCTGCATTTCTAACAAGCTCCCAATAGATGCTGAAGCCACTGGTAGAGGAGAACACCTTGTTTAGGTAATGTTTGAGTGTGACATGAATTGTATTTTACTTCATAATTTCTATTGAAGTATAGTTGACATACAATGTTATACCATTTTCAGGTGTGCACAGTGATTTGACATTCTATACATTAAGCTATGTTCACCATGATAAGCATAGTTACTATCTATGTAACAGGAATTTTATAAGTTGTCAGCTGGTTATTTTCTTTTTTTAAATTTTTATTTAAATTCAATTAGCCAAAATATAGTGTGTCATTAGTTTCAAATGCAGTGTTCAGTAATTCACCAGTTGCATGTAACACCCAGTACTCATAGTGTGGGTGTACATCACATGCCCTCTTTAACGCCCATCACCCAATTACCCCATCCCCCACCCACCTCCCCTCCAGCAACCCTCAGTTTGTTTCCTAGAGTTAAGAATCTTTTGTGGTTTGTCTCCCTGATGACTTTGCATTCAGTTTTTCCTCCCTTCCCCTATGACCCTCTGCCCTGTTTCTTATATTCCACATGAGTGAAACCAAACCATATGATAACTGCCTTTCAATGATTGACTTTTCACTCAGCATAATACCCTCCAGTTCCACCCATGTCAATGGTAAGTATTCATCCTTTCTGATGGCTGTGTAATATTCCATTGTGTGTATATGTATATGAATGTGTGTGTGTGTGTGTGTGTGTGTGATCTTCTTTATCCATTCATCTGTTGATGGAAATCTAGGCTCTTTCCATAGTTTGGCTATTGTGGACATTGCTGCTATAAACATTGGGTTGCAGGTGCCCCTTTGGATCACTACATTCATATTATTGGGGTAAATAGTAGTGCAATTGTTGGGTCATAGGGTAGCTCAATTTTTAACTTCTTGAGGAATCTCCATACTGTTTTCCAGAGTGGCTGTACCAGCATGCATTCCCACCAACAGTGTAAGAGGGTTCCCTTTTCTCCGCATCCTTGCCAAGATCTGTTTCTTCCTGAGTTGTGAATTTTAGCCATTCTGACTGGTGTGAGGTGTGAGGTGCCATCTCATTGTGGTTCTGATTTGTACATCCCTGATGCTGAGTGATGTAGAGCATCTTTTCATGCATTGGTTGGCCATTTGGATGTCTTCTTTGGAAAAAA